TATATTTTCAGAAAATAAAAACTGCAACACAATGATAATTGTTTTTTTTTTTTTTATGTGTTTTAAAGATTGTTGTTAACGAATACAAATCAATGGTAATGCCGCACAAAGCACATTGGGTTTGAGGCCACACAAATATCGCCACTATCAAAGCATTTGTTGCTTTCTACACTCAAAAATCTTCCGGTTTTTTCCCAGAAAATGAGCGATTGACACAGCCTTCACTAGGTCTGTGAGGGCATCCTTGTAGTGCACCATTTCCTCAGAGAGAGGCTCCTTGCAAGTCTCCGCGTCCTTGTCACCGCCAAGATAGTCCACCTCATGAGCGCAGTCATGCAGGCACATATTCATTATTTTTTGGATTTTGAAAGCAACATGGGTTTAGATTACAATTTTGTATATCTCTATATAAAGGGGTCATCATCATATATGTGTTCAAAGCAAATAAAGGTTGAAAGTATTTGTTGATATACCATGCATATACAATTGGGTTTGTAGACCAAAAAATGTTAGCTCAAATTAATAAGGATTACCATGCATGCCTACAGGTAAAAGAAAAACACAGGGAAGCGAACTGAACGGAACACATATGCACAACCCGTTTCAAACCCATCCCAAATCACAAAACTATAGAAATGTGTTTGCCATGTCATTTGGTTCCTGCATATACCGTGCATAATTAACTCCGGGCATGTTGCAACAGTTTTAACATCGGAGCAACTGAGTAGCCAACATACAAACGAGAGGCCACATACGGAATGCCAATGTGAATGCAGTGGCCACCCCCAAAGCTAAGCAAATGCTTGTTCCCACCCATAGGCTGCTTCTGGAGCAATCCCACACGACGGGTGAGCCAATACATACTGAAGCTAAAGTACATCAACTTGTCCCCACAGGATCGCTCAGGAACGTTGGTACCTTCAAAAAGTTTGCACACATGATGCCATGCTGGTGAATCCTGCTTGGCTTCCGCTAGCTTGGTCATAGCCCATTGTGTCACACGATTTGATGGTTGCCGGGGCCCGGAAGGCTCTTTCACCTCCTCACCTTTTCCCTCCCCAGACCTGGGCTCCTCCTCCGTGGGCAAAGCAGCTTTGGACTTTGCTTTCGCTTTGGCCTTGCTCTTGGCAGCGCGTTTGGGTTTCTTCCTGTCTTGGCGGATGGGGGGTGAGGCAACCATACCAGGGGGTTTGCTGGGAGAAACCTCTGAGCAACCTGGCGGCATGTCATCGGGAAAGAGTCTTCGACGCTCGGGGGTCTGCATTGCAGGCCTCTTCAAAGATGCGGATGGGTATTCCTTTTCAGTTTCCATCTCACAATCTTTCTCACTACCGTTGGCTCCAAGAGGTTCAGGGACATGTTCTGGTTCTGAGGCTTTGGTAGTCTTGCTAGCCTTTCTGCCCCTACCCATTCCTCGGCCACCACCTCGGCCTCCGCCTTTTCCGGTTGCCTGCTTATCTTCCTTCTGCTTAGCAGCCAAGCCAAGCAGTTCACGACGTGTGAGCACCTGAAGGCTTGGCCAGGTTGGGCTATCTATATCAATATGTAAAAACAAAAAACATATCATTTCCTCTATATAGGTTAGTTCCGGCCCTGCATGCATGTGATGTGTGTTAAATGTTGTTTTCTTGATATGATTGTTCAAAAAATATATACATGGGTTCACTTGAGGAGGGTTCAAACTCAAACATCAACATACAACATACCTAAATATATTTCATGATTAACCAGGCCTTGGTAGGTTCAGTCTCTTCCTCTGATCCATGTTCAGGGTGCGTCAGTCCAGGCGGGTTCCCCACACAAACTCCGGTGCCCTCCTTGTTCCCCACCGTGGTGTGATCACCAGCAACACGTGAGAAAACTGAGCATGGCAAGTCAACTTTTGGAAAGGGCTGATCTTCAGGGCAAAGATTGGAAGGCTGTGAACACAACCCCCCGATTGCTTCTCTACCATGTCATCTTCACGTTGAAGAAGAAAGTCAACAGAGCAAGGGATGTCCTCGTGCAGGTTCATGGCTAAAGTTGGGTCCATGTCACCACCATATGGTATAGAATCCATAACAAGCACAACCTTGGAACCTGCAGACTCTATGCTCTTCGCATTCATAGTCTCAGTGTTGTTGCACCTTAGTTAGAACATGGTAGAATATATTTCAATTGCATTGAGCCATGCATAGCCATGCATACAGATATTTTTCTTTTGCAGTAACATTTCATTCGCTAACGCTACATTTTCTGCACACATAAATGAACAGTGCCATCGCAAATAAAACCAAATATAACTTACTATAACCAACAAATGTGAATCACCTAGGCCCCCCACCCATCCTTCGTGTCCAAATCCCGTTCCATAGATTCCAAGTCTGCAAGCTGCGCTTTGAGCTCGGCAATGCGCTGCATGCGAGCGACCCTATCTGTGTCAATGGCTTGTCTTTCTTCCCCGGGGGAGGATGAGGTAATGCTCAGGAGGTCAGTCTTGGCTGGGCTGGGTTTCTCACGAGCTTTGGGAGATTGGGGGATCAGACCCTCCTCAGAATGCTGAAGAGGGCGGGCCACCTGGAGAAGAGCTGCCACCGGATCACCCCCATCCTTCTCAACCTTTTCTTCTTCATTTGGCTGGGTTCCACCAAGGTTGAACGGGTCGTCCACTACTTGGGAATCGGTCCAAAACAGAGATTCATCAAAAAGCTGGGATAAGCTGTCATCAGGGAGGCTGGGTCCAGGGACATCAGGGTCTGAAAGTGAAAGGCTGCTCAGCTGCTTCCCCACCAATTGGTCAAACCAACCATCATCTTCACTATCTTCATCTTCATCGGGTTGGAAAACAACATGGTCTTCAGCGCCCAAAACCCGCCCATCAGACGACGTAGGCAACCCAGCATCATCATCCGAATCATCACCAGAAACTCCACGTTGATTGCAAGGCTGCAGGGGCCAGCGGTGAACTAGGCTAAGGGCAACATGTTATTTTCTGTCAACGAGCTATAATTTACACATGCAGGTCTAAATTCATATATGTTTTGGAAAGAAAAAATGTAAACACAAGTGTATCGAAATTAAATTGTTTCGACTTTCATCGTGACAATATAAACACAAAAACACCATATCTCAAAAAAATGCCAACCCCATAAATTGAAGCATACACATGCATAGAGATACAGCAGTGTGAGAAAATGAAGCCACATGAAAATTTGCAAAATACCAGATGCATGTGCACATGCAAACCATGCCAGAATTTGTTCATGAAGAATTGACACATGATTACAAACAACACTTCCCAATCACAGGTGGGAACCCCATAATGGCCTGAAGGTTGGGATCAAGGATTCGCTGAAGCTTCAAGAAGTCGAGATCCTGGGAAACGGGTGTTTTCAAATCACTCCATATAATTTACTTAAGTCTATGGCTGGCTGTAAAATCTGGGCAACAAGTACAAATATATAGAAATGATTTGAGTGATTTGATCTATATATAATGGGGACAGGGATCAAACAAAACAAACCATGCTATAAACCATACTAAACCAAAGCTAGCTACAACAGACCCCAATTTCTTGTGGGTCTTCATCTTCACGAAGCTCAGCATGCTCTTGCATGTCCAGGCATCTAGTTTGATCTTATCCCGGCCACATACCAAGCTCATCTTCGAACGGAAGAGTTTGATCCTAAGAGAGAGCCAAACTAAACCCATGGGAAAAAAAAACTGATCCAATTGGGGCATACAGTGAGCATCCCTGTCATAGAATGGTAAACCACACTTTTTTGAAAATAAATTCTTTAACGTTTATCACCAACAAAGGATCTCCCTGGCAATGGCTTTCAACGAAGGCAGTGGGTGGTTCTTCTGCATTGCCATACGACGAAGCATGGGGATAAGAACATACTGGTTGTGGACCGCATCCTTGATACAGAACTTCAAGGGTTGGTTCTCATCTGCATCAGATCGAACCTTGGAGGACTCAAAGAGCCGGTCCCGTCTAACCGCCACCAACCTCACAGCCGGTGCATCTTTCCATTCCCGGCTGATGTTCTCCACATCGCAGGACGGCTTGGCTGCAGCCGCTGGCTTTCGAGGCATGGCCGATACGGGACACACAAACTCAAAAGCCTGTGATCCTTTCTGCTCCAAAAGCTGCAGTGTTTTCAGACTAAAGTTGGCATGAGTTTGGGATGACATCCTGCAAATCAAGTTGTATATGCCAGTCAATTTTCCAAAGCTCACATTCTTGTCGATTTGTAATTCAATAAAACAGCTAAAATCAAGTGGAACACATTCATGCTTTGTATTGGCTGGGCGTGTGAAAGGGAAAAGACTATGCCAACCATGATGGCCAATGTTTTGGTTTGTCCCAGTTTAGGACCCATGAGCCCTATCCAAATTGGTTTCCCCATTCAAGCACCATGCTTTGCAGGTGGATCGGCTGAGATCTTGACTCACTCAATCGCTCATGCAGCGAAACAAGGGCATGGGATGCGGCGACCACAGGTGGCAGGTCTGTGTGACCCTTAAGAAACTTAATATGAATATGTGATTGTAACACTTTGGATGTAGGATTTGGCCCAAACCAACATATATATCCCATGTCATGTGGGGCTGGGTAACTAGTCGTGACCCATGTCATCCCATGTCAACTTCAGAAGATTCAATAAGTTTCAATATCTTCAATTCATAAGATGTTGCAAGCCCACACAGGGCACGAATGAATCTTCAACATATGTATTGCCAACCTCATGTTGGTGAAACAGCCCAAATGGCTATTGGGGTCAAGCGGCACCTCAGCTGCAAAGAGGACAATTGTTGAAAACCCGGTTTTCTGAAGGGGATTTCCAGATAGCATCAATTTACGGTTTGTGACATCCAAAACTAAGTTATTGCCAAAAAACCTTCTTTTTGGCCATAGGGGCAAGCAGATGGTATATATATGATTTATATATATGTATATAATTTATATAATCCCCATGAAAATCTCAACAATGTTTCTCTCCCATGGAGAATTTCAGGCCCGACCCCAGGCGGCACGAGCTTTCAGATCCCAGCTCTCAAGGGCGGATGCCGAGGCCCGCGCCATGGCGAAATCCCCGGGCCATGGAGGTCTTAATGGGAAAATCCTGGGAAAACCCATAGGAAAACCCATCGAAAGTCGGAAAATCATCGGAAATATGGGACATGGAACAGGAATGAACAGGACATGTCCCTGTAAAAACGGTTTAGTTGGGCAAATCATCGAAGTAAATGGGAGATTACCGGAGGTGCTTTTGAGCACCGTGCGTAAGCCTGGTAAAGTGCTGTGATTCTGATGTGTGATTTTTCTGCTAGCTGCTTGCCAGCCAAATAGATATCTTCACCATGGTTCATGAAGGTATCAAACATATCATTTCACCATCTATGTGCATGGTTTTTTCCCTGTCAAGCGACAGCCTGAAAAAAGCACTGCTTGGTGTTTTCGAGGATTTGTCACCAGAACCCGCGGGATATTTGTCATGTTCCCATGTTTCTCATATTAAAATGGTGTTTTCCATAAATGGGATCCCCCATTTATGGATGGTTTATTTCATGGAAAATCTGAAAATAACATGGATGATAACTAGGGGTACCCCGGGTACCCCTATTTCAGGAAACCTCCAAATGGCAAGTTTTCGGTACCTCCTCCCATTTGGTGGCTCAAACACCGAAAAAAAGTCGAGGCATCAGTGCTGATCTCGACCATTGAGGAGCGAATGGACAGGTCGAAACGGGCATCACCAATGACGTACCGTAAATGGTTTGTAAAATGCAAACTTAAATGGTAGATTTTTGTTTGTTGGGTTTACCACATTATGGTGGACGGAGTGGACGGATTATGGTAATTAGTCATACATTTAGACTTTTTTGGGGTGGGGGGATTAGATGGTAATATTACTATAGTTATTACTATTTTTGATCTATATATATATTACTATAGTTAACTATAAATTAATCTATAGTTATAGACTTCATTTTGATACATTTATTACTATAGTTATATCATATCCCATGAAAATTAAACTTTTTCGCAGAGCACGGCAGCCACCATCTAGTGGATCATGTTCCAGGAGGATCATCCGAAAAACTGCGAGGTGAAATGGGACACCTCGATACGGGACTGGTTTTTATTACTGATAGTGTGATATCTATACAACAATAATAGGTTTATATCTCCTACAATATAGGTTTATACTGTCTTGCAGTCATGTTTTTACTACTGGTTTTTACTGGTTTATATATATATATATACAACAGAAAAACATATAAAAAACATGATTGCAAGACCATGTAGAAATGTCATCTTGGTTGCGTTGACATACATATTTATTTTGATTATAATTAAATTTGTTTGATTCCAGATGATCTCATCTCATACTACCAAAGCGCTCGGCCATATGGCAGTGCAGTACTTGCCTCTAGTAATCTAGTAAAGTCCTCTTGTAGAGCATCATTAGGTGCGTTGTCAAGAGTCATGATCGTGTGCCACTGCATAGATCAAGATACATTGGCTAGTCATATCGAGTCTGAAACGATCCACTCACAAGAAAGCCTAGCAGGGTAGGCCTTATGAGTTTCTGAACAGTAGTGAAAGACGGAATCATGAGTGCTGTCATTGGTGACACCAGCGCAGTTGCTGATTATAGTATGTCATTTTCTTGAGGGTATTGCAGGTTGGCTTCAACACCATCTCTGGTATCGCTGGCCTAGCATACTTCTCCGGAGTCTCCGGTCGTCCCCATGTTTTCTTTGTGTATGTTGATTGTTCCCTTTGAAGAGTCCAATTATCCCCCATTCTTCTGATCCAACATGATGTTGCTTGCCAACATCTTCTGGGTACTGTTTCTCCATGCCTGGACACTCTCAGTACCTTGAAACATTGGGCAATATACTGCAATTACCCATTTTGATGGTGATGTTTACTTTTACCAATTTTCATGGGGACCTGCAGGCTCTACGGAAAACGAAAACAAAAAAAATAGTAAATTCAGGCAAACCAAAACAACAACACATAAAACACATGATCTTGATTGTCCTCCACAAACGAAACCTGGGTTTCCCTGTGCAAAACATCACAGGTCTTCCAGTTGGTTTCTGGCAGTGGAGTTGATCAGCGAATTGCAGAGGCCTTTCGCAGGATGATTAACACGTTGGAGGTTTACATGTCAAAGATGAAGACTTGTCAATTTTAACGTGATACAATGGGATTTAATGGACTATACTGAGGATATCATGAGTCATAGTGAAAGTGATGATGTTTATGGTATATGCCGAGGATTTAAGGGTTATTTTAATGGGATGTGATGGGTAATATGTGTGGTAAACACATCTTACACCCATCTTACACCTAGTTTTTTTTATTGTTTTTTTAATGATGTGTACATAACCAACTGACTACGGTTACCCATCATGAATATCCATTTTTTTCACATTCCAACGTCCATTGATGATCTCCATTGACTCAGGGCATTGCCGGACTGGTTTGCTAAGTGGTGCCCCATAGAGTTTGCTAAGTTGGGGGCCACATAACTCCAAATTCATCTGGGTTTATGGTAGATATACCTATACTTCATGGGGGTAAGTTAAGCAACTTATAACTGGAATCGGCACCACCTGAATTTGGTTGAATAATATGATAGATTAATATAGATTATATGAACAAGCTTGGCTCAAACATGAAAACATGGATTTAGCAACGATGACTGTTGGACAAACAATGCGGCCAGTTGGACATACAATGGCCCAAAATGGCCCAAATCTGTGGGTTTTTCGGCGTCTGGTTTCAAATCTTGGACCAGCCTCTATGAAAACGAGTTTATTGAATATTGATGGAAATGATGATCCGGGATGTGCGGGCTTATCTCAAAAGATTAAATGATCATAGCAAAACACCATGAGTACAAAATGGATTATGATTATGACTCTAGCAGATTACTCCTTGTTGAATCTTTGGGAAAACGGTGAATCCTTGGAAAAGATCAAAGAATGGACAGCTTTTTTTGTTTTTTTTGGGGGGGGGATCCTGGCCAGGCGGAGACTGGACTTTGCTGAGAGCTTGCGTTCTGCGCAGAAACTCTGCTCCAAGTGACTTGGGTGGAAAGGCGATCTCGTGGAGGGATGGAACCAACAGCGGGTACACTGTATTCAACATGGTAACACAATCTAACTATGGGAGTATCCCAGGAATCTCACCATACTTTTAGGATCTTTTAGGCATGTCGAAACCACGGGCAACTGGGTCGTTTCTACAAATCACGTGGCAGTTGAAACAAATCCAAGTAGAGCACTCGATCCACAGAATATGAAACCCGTGGATCCACAACTCCCAGAGACCCTCAATTGACCGATGTGCATTAATGTACTTCGCCTATTTGTTCAGTGTGCTGATTGGCATTTTTGATATAAGAACATGTTGTTTTATAAACATATATATATATAGCATATGTTTTGACATGTTTTGATTTGAATGGGCCAATGGGCAAATTGGAATGTGTGATGCTGGGCCTCTGTTAAAACAGTCTGATTGAACATGTTTTTTTGCTGGGTTTCTCAGTTTTTTTTCTAGCAAATTGAGGGTTTAGGATTGCTTGTACAATGCCCAGTTATAAGTTGGTTTATAAAGTTTATAAGCCCTATGAACTATAGTCATAAGCATCGCAAACCATAGTGATTGGAGTTATTGGACCACCAACTTGGCTATCGACCGGGGGCCCCACATTGGATGGTTGAAGCCTGAGGGCCTCACAATGGGCTTCAGTTCTGGCTCTGCAAGGAGCATTGGGATATCACGAGATGATGCAATGGGAGATATCATCCGGATACAATTGGGCATATAATACGACTTTCGGGATTTGGAACTCGCAGTTGTTTTTTTTCATTTTTGCCTGGGCAATTTGCGCTTGCTTGTGGTTGAGAGAATTGCGTTTTTTCTTTCAATCCGAGGGCAGCACTTTGTTCAGCTCCTGATTTGATTCCACAATGTTTCTATATATATATAGTTTCAGTTCTTTCTTGCCTTTTCATGTGATGACACAATCATCAGGACATCAAACTGCATGGAAGTTTTAAACGTATGACGTTTCTCCCGTGTCACCCTACGTGCCCTATTGGCATAGATGGTGGTAAACAGGTATACATGACCATTTACTAAAGGAACATCATGTACGCCTGTATATTGCCTTAAGGTACCTCATGAGCATGTAAGAGCACTTTCTATCCCAGAACAAAAACACATGTTCCAGATATATCCAGATTATTTTTTCCCAAGCAAATATTGGATACCAGATGTTTTTCCCAAAAAATATTGGATACCCTCCAGTAATCAAACACGGCAATGTTAAATGCCTTGTTTATATTTGATCTATCCATCAAAACCTCCATTTGGAGGTTTCCTAAAACAGGGGTACTGCACCCCAAATCATCCGAAATTTCACCATTTTTTTTGAAATCCATGGTCTTGCCCCATTTGAAGAAACCCCCATTTCGTTCGGAGACTCCCGTGTTTTTCCCACAGAGTTCGCAGGACTGGAGCCTTTGTCGGGGAGTTTGGTCCTTGGGTCCTTCATTTCTCGGAGGCAGGCCAGGCCATTTTCCCCGAATGTTGGGCCCCAGAACTCCCCCGCTGCCAAGGCCAGGACTTCCAGGAAAACATGGAGGTCGAGCACTATTACCTCATCAAAGCAGCCTGCAGGCCTGGTGAAGATTGGAGTTGACCGGAAGTTTTTTTTTGCTCATTTTGAATGCTTGGGAGAAGTTGGCCGGAAACGAAACTCAGCGTAGCCTTTTCCCTCCAAATCCAGTCTGTACGGTAGCCTGGGTTTGTCCAAAATTAAAATGAGGAACATGGTGATCAATGCTGGAATTTTGGTGTCCCTATTTTTGAACAACCCGCATCTCTCATCGAAAGTGGTCAAGGGCGATAGGCCCATCTCCAGCCAAAAAAAGGACCCAAAAAGCTGAGGTCGCGACAGTGGCAAGAGGCGCTGGCCTTGCTGGTAAGGACCTTAGGTTTCAAGGGCTGTCAAGGGGTGAACATGGCAATCTGGTCGGGGGGTTACTGTAAATATTGATGGTTGTTCAATGTTTTTCAACCATACTTGGGATGATTGGTTGAGATGACGGTCGCATGGGGGGATCGCTCAAAGCATTTGAAACCACCAGCAATGGGAGATCCATGGAAATCCATGGAAATCACCGGTCTTCTCTAGGAGAAACGTATGGACCACTAAAAGAACCCCTGTTTCCGGAGATGTCCAAGCGGTATGACGCAGATCCGCTCAGACTGACCGGATGCTGCCGACACAGCTTGACCAGGCCAGGTTGGGAAGCCGTGGTCAAGACCCACCCACAATGGTTGCTTGTTTTCTGGTAACCACCTACAGTACATACTTGGGATAGTGATTTTCTGAGGTCCTGCTGCCATTTAAAGGAAATGTATCTCAGCTTTACATGGAGGATTGAAGACAACACCTGACGGTGTGGTGGTAGAGCACTGCTTGGGCCCCCCACTTCAGGGTTGACCACTGCAGGGGCTGGTAGACGTCTCATTTTTGGGGAGTTGCAGTTTTTCTGATGAGGTCATTATGTAAATGTAGACTTCAAGCCATTGAATTTGCCAAGCCATTCCCAACAGTGGCTTGGCACATCATAAAATTATCATATATTATATATAATTGCATTTATCTTCATTCTACCATATTCTACCACCATCTAAGTGGAATGACATGGCCATATGTTGATCATAGAGTGGGTTCAAATCTATCATTTTCAGCAACATGAGTCAATGAGGCATTATTTCCATATGATTTCCATAGAACTCTCCAATAACTTCCGCAGAGCTTTTCCCTACCACCACGAGCACCACCAGCTGCTGGTTCGGAGCCACCGACAGCGACCCGGGCGACCCGGCCTGGCGGCTAGGCCTAGAGGTGCGTGCCTGATCTCGGACCCTCCAAGCTGATGATATGGAAGTATAATGGGATTATACAAGGTGGTGCCCTCAAGATAGCTAAGTTGGTTTATAACTCCAATAACTATGGTTTATGGTACTTATAACTATAGTTAATGGGGTTTATAAACCAACTTATAACTGGGGGGCCCCACCTTGTAATGAGATTATAGTGGGCTTATAATGGGATTATAAGGACTTAATTGAATTGAACAATGGAATGTTATATAAATGATACCCGCATCTTCAAAAACGTGTCATGTTTCAGCTTTTTCGGAAAAATACTGTTTTTTTTGGGTACTCTGAGTTGTTAAAGTTGAACGATTTCAATGAAATGAGCGTCCCAGCTGCGCGCACGCAACTTCTAAAGTTGACCAATGTTGCGTCCAGCTTGTGTCTAGCAAGTTAGTTTTTTTCAGTTTTTGACTTTTTCGTGGGTTTTGCATTGCCAGCGACTTTGTGTGACTTCGTATTTAGGTTGTGTCTATACCATGTTTTCATGATCGCATGAAAGGACAATGAAAGGAAATGAGAGGAAATGAAAGGAGAATGAAAGGAACATGAAAGCAAATGAATCCAAAGGTCTGGGTTTTGATACCCTTTGACGTCGTTCGATACGTCGTTCGGACGTCGTTCGGACGTCGTTCGAAACAGCTACCCTCTGGTAAACTAACATAGCTATTGAAAATGGCCATTTATAGTGGATTTACCCATTAAAAATGGTGATTTTCCATAGTTACGTTAGTTTACCAGAGGGTAACCGTGTCCCTACAGAATCCAACAGGTAAAAGCAGCTTTTCTTGTGATCACTTGCAATCTACATGTGGTGAATCACTGGCGTTCCAATATGACATGATTGTTTTTTGTTGTATTTAATATCACTTTGAAGATGTTTTGGGAGTTGCGTCCACAAGGTGTTTCCTCATCTTTCACACAGCAAAACTTGCCAAAACAGAGTTTGTCGTACATCGGCGTCCCATTGGGGTTGACCTTGCTTTTGGTCAACTTATTTGACTTCCTGATCCAACGGCGTCCCAATGAGATTTGACACAATTCTGTTAAATTGGTCGACTTTAACGGTTCGGAGTAGTACAACTTTTTTGACTTCGAGCGTTTTTTTTGGATTTTCTTCTTTTGACCTTCTAGATGGTCTTTTGTTTGGCTTTCTAATGTGTGCCATGGTCCCACACACTGTTATTTGGATTCGTTTTCAGACAACATTCTCGTGAATGACTCTTAGAACCAAATTGCCATCAAATGAAATCGAAGAAGGTGATACACTCTTGAGTTAAGTACAACATGCCAAACAGGTCAATCGCAAGGTCATCTCAGGGAAGCTCATTGGGCAAAGGAGTTCTGTTGCAGCATCCTTCTCATTATCGTATCGAACTCGCAGCAGTGGAGCAGGTGGCAATTTGGACTTAGAAGGGCATTTGTGAAGCAATGAAATTCCATCCTTAAACTATTTTTGCAACGGCACGAAAAAACATGATTTGCCGGCGAAAAGGCGTATTTTTTTTTCGAGCAGATTGGTGTGTGTGTGTGTTTTGCTGTTGTTGAAAGGGTATTGATATATACTGTACTGAAACTCAAATGCCTGACAGAACCAATGGACAGGGCAGATGCCAAAGAGCGACAAAAGAATCTGCCAAGATTTGCTTTTGTCTTCAATCTAAGCGATGGAAAGGCCAAGTCTCTGCAACGTTCTGGGGATGCATGATTGTTCTTTCACTTAGAGACTTACTTAGAGTTTGGTTTGACTAGTGAGGCTCGTTTGAGTTTCAGAGACTTTCTTCCAAAGTGTCAAAGGATGTCCAAGGTAATCATGGGTTCCCTGCTGTTGTGGTTGTGGTATTTCACTTGATCTCTCTGGGTTTAGTGAAGGCTACGAGGTATTTATAGCCATCCAAATCTTCATGACAGAATAGGGAAGAATATGAAAGAGCAAAAAGTAAAGATTTTTTTGGGCGAAACGCAAAAACAATTTCAACTTAGCGATAATTTTGCACATCCGGAGGTTGTAGGTATAAATGATGGGATAATAGTGGGATTATAGTGATCCAATAATGGAGGTTTCCGAGGGCATGTGGGTTACCCTATCCATCCGTATCCAATCATCCATTTTTTTGTGTGGGGTTTTGGTTTTGCATGGAATTTATCCATCCAGCTTTTGGGGTACCCCATGACTGTGGAAAGCACTGTACTGTATGTATGTTCTTCCTCTAGGCCCACTGTAGCTGGCGCTGCGACATAAGCAGATATGTTTGTAGCAATAATGCACCATTGATTTTGGGACTTCTAGAACCTTTTTCTATGTACTTGGATAGTCTAGGTACATTTGATATATTTCTTACACATACAACATGTAGATAGGTTGATTGACATAAGGATAGAGATGCATCGCTAGTTAAAGAAATAGATAGGTACAGAAACACAGGGACACACATATACCCATAAAGATCGATTTATAGATCGATAGATATACATAGATAGATATACAAATCAATGTGTATATACATATAGCCACCGCAGGCTAAAATTTGAGCCCGAGTGTGTTTTGACCTATTTTTCTGCCTGACCCTGGAAATCCCGCCTGACCCTAAATCCTCGCCTGTAGGAAAATGTGCGCGTTCTTGTTTTGATTCACTGTTCCGCATTTCTGCTTCGCCATTCCTGGACAGACGAGTCCGCAAAAAAACAAACTATGGCCAGTAATTAGATAAAACCTTTCCTCGCGAATTCTCGCCTGTTTCCCGGGTATTCCCGCCTGTTTACCGGGTATTCTCGCCCGACTTGCTTTGACACAAATTTTCAAAACATGTCTGAACTGCACATGCAAGAGAAAATTAAGCCCTGATTGTTCAGGGAAGGTGTCTTTAGACCTACTTTGTCAAATTGCAATTCTTGCCGAATTGGCAATCAGGCTATTTTTCAGCCCGATCACAGAAAAGGCTACTATTCCAGTTCAGCCCCAAATTTCTGCCTGTTGGAGGCCGCAGGATATATATTATACATACTGTAAACCAAAAAAAGGAAATCATACATGCAGAAAAACACATAAATAGATCAATAGATAGATAGATCAGTAGATCGTTGGATATATAAAAGTAACTAAACATACAAATTGTAATTGTATCTAATTGGACAGGCAGATAGATAAAGATATAGATAGATATACATGGATGTGCTGAGAAGTTTAGATAGAGATAAAGACATCGGTAGACAAGTAAATACACATTTTCAAACAGATCTATAGAGGTAGAGCTATAGATATAGGATAGACTTTTTGGTTTCGAATTTGTTAAGCTAAAGCACCATAAGTGTTGGTAAACACATGATTTTTGCGAAACCTCTCCGACCGGGTTGCACCCGACGTGTTCCTGCAGGTCATGCGTGCTTTTCGAAATGGAAGGACCGCTGCGCAGATCAAAGCCGATCGCGAGCTTCTTCGCAAAGCACGAGAGACACTGGGCTTGAACAATGCTGGGCCATGGGAAAAAAGGCGATTCCTGGTTGACAACTGGGGTATCCTCTGGTAATTTAACATAGCGATTGAAAATGGCCATTTATAGTGGATTTACCAATTGAAAATTGTGATTTTCCATAGTTATGTTAGTTTACCAGAGGGTATCCCAATTCTCCGTTTACTGGTTAACTCCAAGGCCCATCTAAGTGGCTGTCCAGCACAAAAAAGTCTTATACTGCTGCTTACCCTGCTTAGTAGGGAATGGGGGAATGATCCATAAAAAACTATTAATATCTATTAATCATCATCGGATTGATTCATTCACTACTAAGCACCAGCAAGAAGTTGGGGATGTACGCTTTCACAGAATGGGGAGCCAATGAAACTAGGGATTTAGCCAGCCTATTCCCAGTGTTTTGTCGTCAATTGTGAAAAAACTTTGGGAACCACACATGGTGATTCCCGTTTGAGGATTTACATTCTGAGATAAGTAGGTAGATAGATAGATCGATAGATAGATAGATAGATAAAAATAGATAAAGATAAATAGATATATGTTCTAGATAGATAGATAGATAGATAGATGTATAGATATTTTCTAGATAGATAGATAGATAGATAGGTAGATAGATAGATAGATGTATAGATATATTCTAGCTATCTAGATAGATAGATAGATCGATAGATCGATAAATGGATAGATCGATAGATCGATAGATAAATAGATCGATCGATCGATCGATCGATCGATAGATAGATAGATAGATATATAAATAGATAGATAGATAGATAGACAGATAGACAGATAGACAGATAGACAGATAGATAGATTCAATAGATAGATTAATGAATTGATTTTTAGATTAGATAAAAAGAACCCTTTCTTCATTCCAGGTACCCTACAGTGACCATAACCATATATACATCTTTGTTTCCACAGCAACAAAGAACTGGCAACGATTTCCTGTGCAGATAGGTTTTGGAGAAAGTGATGATGTTGATGGAATCCAAAGAGGAACTTTGATGATCGATAACCTTAAGATGTTTGACTGCCGGCATGTGAAAAAAAACAGCTTTATCCAGGTATTTTTCCTGTCCTGCTAAAGATATGTCATGATATGCCCATCTCTGAAAGATATACACAAATATAAACAATAGATACACCCCTATATGATCCACCCATCATGATATATTTTTTGTCTCTTGCTATCTCTGGGATATTTTTTTCACCCATCGACATGTTGTCAGGGATTCGATCCAGGGGTGACCTTTGGAGAATCCAGCACTTGGCTCCCCAATTGATGTTGGCATCTGAATGTTTGTTGCTGACATCGGACTATTTTTATTGTGCATTCACATTGCTCTTTCTTCCTGGTTACATTTCCTTTTTTTACCTGTAGCCATGTTTGGCAATGCTACATCATCCCTGATTGGTTGTGGACCACAAACCACAAACGTGTGTCCCAGGGGCGGCAAGTCGTGACTCTTACCATTGATCAACTCAGCTGGATATTTTATGCATGCAATACTTTTTGGGATCAGCTGTGAATCAAACAATAGCCTCTGGTAAACTGACATAGCTATGGCAAATCACCATTCTCGATAGGAAAGAAAGGCACATTTTTCAATAGCAAACTTTTATATAGAGTGCCAGAGTAGTTTTTTGTCAATTGCCAAGTTGTTCCCCCAACTTCTCCAGTTCAACTTATCCACAAGCAAGGCAGTCCGGAGAGATCGACAGTGTGTACAAGGCCCTGCTTTGGGGACCACTGGTCCGATGGTCTTTTCGTCTCACTGGGTTTGTCTCATATGGGATATATCCAAATGGCCATTTTAATAGGAGACACATGATGATAATTTGGAATTTGGGGTACCCTACTTTCAGGCGAACCCAACTGTATATGTCAGTTGATCCGACTTGCTGTATTTTTTTTTGGTGTTCCTCTTTTTCTTGTGTTCGACACTGGATGATCTCATGTTTTCAAGAAGCCTTTCAAGTTGTTTGATGTTCCCAAGTCCTAAAATTAAATTTGGAAAGAATAGCACAGCAGGATTTGCTGCAACCAGCAGCAGTGCCAGGTCTTGTTGTTCGTTGCCATCGCGGTGTTCATGTGGACCTTCATCGTGCCATATTTGGAAGACCTCAAACTGCAGAAGGAGCCAGCTAGCGGTGACCATGCTGGGGAGAGTTTGCAGATCACACGTGATGCCAAAACCGGGATGTTTTCCCCAAGAAAAAACACTACTACTATGAAATAGAACACAACACACCGCAACAAAACGCAAAGCAACACAATACAAGACTTGTAGAACACAATACACTACACAATAATGCACAGCAGAATTCAATACAAGACAACGCACCGAACCATGCAAAATACAATGCGGCACCGCACACGACAAGACTACACAACACAATTCGAGACAAGACAAGATAAGACAGTTCGACACACTGCTGAGAGACACAGAGATATCATGCCACGCGATGGCATACAATGCCATTCCATGCAATATTTGCATATACTTATAACTTCTAACATGTTTCCTTATATTTCTTTTCTGATACTCTTCCATTGGTTCTGGCTTTATTCAAATATATATATATATTATAATATACTGCAGGATCATCAGATGCACACATGCATGCATGCATGCATGCATCCATGCATATATGTATACATGCATACATTACATTACATACATAATCATACAATCATACATACATACCCACATAATTACATAATTAGATCATTACCTAATTACATACCTACCTACATACATACCTGCCTACCTACCTATATACCTACCTATATACCTACCTATATACCTACCTATATACCTTCCTATATACCTACCTGCCTACATACATACTTACGTGCATACATACATGCTGTAAGCTACAAACTGTGTTGGTTGATTGGTGTGTCAACCGTGTCACACCTGAGACTGCTTTGGTTCAGTGCCGCTGATCAGAAGTCAAATATTTGAGTAATGTGGTAAACCCAATGTTATAAACAACTACCATTTGGGGATGTTGTATACCACCTATTTATGATATATGATGACGACTTGGGGATGGTTGAATCTGATGAGTCATGATTATATCATTGTTTTCCCATAAATATGCCACAATTTCACACAAGCTGCAATAATTTATAATGTATAACTGTACAACATTGTATAGCCCTATTATCCCATTGGCTGAATCCCAGCGCCAGCAGGAGAGGGCCGCAATGGGGATACCGCCCACACCAGCTGACCACGAGGAGTTCTAAGACCTGCCCCAGGTACGGCACTTCTAAGACCTGTGTCTTCGGTGGGTTTTTCTCGGTCATTTCATTGCGACAAGCAGAATGAAGCGAGTTCCAACACAGAGAGAAGATGAAAGAAGCGTGGGATTTTCTATGATACCTAGTGTATAGTAAAACCTAGTTACCAATTGGTGCATGATTGATAGTGACACCTCTTAACATAATTGACCGTGTTTGTTCTATGAACTAGAATGAAACCATAGTGATAGTTTCCATATTGGCAACACAATGATGAAGCATAATGAAACTGAAGTGATATCTATCCCCTGGTAATTTGTTACATAGCCATTGAACATGGCAATAGTTACATAGTTGATTTACCCAGCTATAAAATGGTGATTTTCCATAGTTATGTTACCGTTTACCAGGGGGTAGTTCATTCAATGGATTGGTTTAAGGGAACAATTACAGGAAAGCCCCATATTTAATGGGAAAATCTATGGTTTCCTGTAGATTTTCCCTTAAACCAATCCATTGATTCATGGGAAGTGCGTCCATGTCAGTTGTGGATTCTTCGTTGGGCTCATCGCAGGTGCCCTTCCCCTTCAAGGATTCGATGCTCCGGAGGTTTCAACGCCAACTCCAAAGCCGTGTTGGTAAAAAACACATCGGCAGCTGGGGATGGGTATGGCCCGCTAGCTGGGCTACTTCAGTAGTTTTACAACTCATAGATGAATATATATATATATATATCATATATTGATATAATATGTTAATATATATATATAATGTTGATATTAAATATATATATATATATATTATTAAAATTTAGGGTTTGCTATAATAATAATGATGATTATTATTTTCATTTTTCAAAAAAAAATATTATCATGATTATTATTACTCATTTTATTATTACTACTATTATTACTATGTATCGTTATATATATATATATAATTATATATATATGTTTTATTTTAATGTGAATGCATTAATCCAAGCAGCCCCCCCAAACAAATGCTGAGTATCTAAGATTAGCCATGGCTCAAACCTGGGGGCCCCGAGTGGCGCAGATATGTCAGGGGTAAGGCAATCACAATGCTTGCTTGGAACTGGATGCTACAGAATGGAACAAACATTTGATGTGTACCTATTGGTATACCAATAGTTAAGTTCATTAGATAATCAACTATGGACCGTCTATCAATTTGTTTCTTGACATTGTATGGTATGCCTACAAACTATAGGTCTCAAACTGTGATTTTGATAAAGTTTGCTTTCTATGGATTTGGGCCATTTGTTCAAAGCTCCAAAGTTTAGTGACCTAGTGTCAAAAGCCCGAAACCATCAAACCATTTGCTTTGTAAAAATGAAACACGGGCAGGGCGTTCCATGCCTCCATGAGAAAAGCTGCAGAACTTATTCTTATCACACTGACTAGATTATCACACCAACTAGATTATCACACCATCTAATTTGATCTAACTAATATATTTATACATTACTTATGTATATATATATATACATATATGCATTACATCTATCACATCTTCTCACTAAATCCAGGTCCCATCTAAGCGTTTTCTCTAAGCCCCGCTTTAAGCATCCTTTGATCTCCAGAAGATTCCACGTGGCAGTCGAGTGAGGGGACCATGACCAGTCTTTTTTCGTGATCTCCCTGGAATGATTGCCTTATTTCAGATATGATGCAGGTCAGGTTCAGACTTTGAAGCCACTGATATTTTTCGATACCTGAAACAAAGAAATTCAGGATTTGCTTGAACAAGCAGTCACACAGCAGGAAAGGTCAACAGTTGGTTTATTCACCACCTTTTTACAGACAAAGTGAAGGATCCGTAAAGTCGACTCAGACATCTCAGAAGTCCAATGTATCACCAGGGATACCAGTGCATAATTGACCCATCAAGCCAATGAAACTACCACAGAATCATTCACTATCCATGATCCAATGATCCATAAAGGTGCTCCATCTCTTGTTTTCTGTGTTTCTTCATCTTGCTGTTTGGTGAGTGATGCATTTGCGCTTCAATAGCATACATCGCCAGCTGCTCACGTTGCGCTGCACAGAGTCTCTGTGAAAACCAACGACAGCATCCCGGCCTGGCGCGGGAAAGCTCTAAGGGACCCATGGGGGAACCTCCCCAAAGAGATTGCCGGAGACGGGATGCTGGGATGAGGAGCATTGGGCTGTGAATGATAATTCAACATATTGCATTATGAGGTGGGAGTGCTTAGTTTGGATTGCCAGGGGCTGTTGGCCAAGGTAAGTCCTTCGTCCTTCAAAAGCACTTTCTGACTAGTTCTACTCTTCCTTGATTATCCAAGACTCATCCAAGCAAGAATCTTCCAGAATCTTCAGTAATACACTTAACTTACAATGATGCCTCCATGATTTTCCATGTCCAGGGTCCATCACTGCCACCATTTCTCAAGGCATCCGCAACGGTGCCCGCAGCTTCGCCAGCGTCGGGCTCTCCGTCGCCCTCGCCGTCGCGGGCCGCCCGCCCTCGGTGCCCTCGAAGCGACGCGGCGGGCACCGCGCCGCTGCGATGGCGCGGCGGGCTGTCCGTCGCGCCTATGGCGAATGGGAATCGCCCATTACAGCCACTGGATGGCATGAAAAACTACAAGTTTTATGGGATTATGGGGATGTTATGAAAGATTTGGGGTTTGGGGTAGGGTTTTTGAATATGAAGTTTTTGGGATTAGAGCGGATTTCACCAAGTATCATGGGGAAATCTATAACCATTTGATGCGGATTTGATGTGCTTTCATCCATCCAGATGCTGGGATACAGCCAGGATGTTGAGCCAACAAGATGGTCCAAGGTGTCCCAAAATGGGTCACATACACCCCAAAGTGTCCACTGAAGAAAACTATGTTCAATCTGGGACCCTATATACATATAATATAACCTGCATGTCAATGATCCAGTAGCAAAAGAATACTGAATCACTTGCCTAATAGGAAACGGTCAAATCACTCTATATCACCCGTGTCATACAGTAGTTCGCAAAGAAGACGAAGGTGGGGTACTCGTGTTAGGAAGATCAACCAGTTTTTTTGAAGCAACACTGTACTTGGAGAATGCTGTAACTTACCAATGAGAAAAGTAGATACCCGCAATATCGCAGTTGTGGTGGGGTTATGACCCCAAAACACCTGCAAACAATGGAGTCTACAAAGCCCAACAAACAACTCAGCTACACACATGTGTTCGTGTCTCAGTGTTTTGCTCATCCGAGTGGCCATCCTTTTGTGAAATTGATCTGTGTAAGCCCTGTCGACCTCCTGACGACCTCACTATAAAATGGTACTTGATATATGGTGATATCCTGTATCTACATTCATCGATTCTATTGTTCAAACTGGGTGATGATATGTTTGTCGGTGCATCCTAATTAGTAAGTGGCCAATAAACATCAATAAACCTTATACATATTATATATATATATACCATGGGGTTCCAACGGGTGGCGCTATGATGCCAAAATCTAAGTTCTCTAAGGGTATGTCACCACGACACCCCTTAACTCAATCAAAACAAAACACTACGTTATAAGTATAACAAAGGTAATATATCACACATTTGGTGGTTCCCATAGATTTTGGTGGTTCCCATAGATTCCCCATCAACCCAAACCCAGCCGCTCTCTCCACCGTGGCCACGTCGACGTGACTGGCGTTTTCACATCGGAGCTCACCAGGTGACAAGTGGTTGGCTGGGAAAGGTAGTTGGTTGAGGGTCACCATGTTCAGCTGTTTCATTGGTGTTCCCATTTTTTGGAGGTAAATGTTCAACTATCATTCCATTCTCCTCAACCAACGGACGCATATGTAAGATGCGTATCTACTAAGAACATATTCGCCCATGTTTTGGGGGCTGCTGGCCATCGCTAATTTTTTCAATTTTCCAACCGCGTCTTCGTCCATGTAGCAGCTGAGTTTGATGGGATTGGTCTAGGGAGCAACATCGTAGACCAGATGGTCTAGCCTTAGATAGAAAATGATCATACAACAAAAGAAATCTGGACAAATCATATTTAACAGGTGAAGTGTTGTGAATCATCATGGCTACCTTGGAGCCAAGTAACTTGTGGTGTTTTGGACGGGATTTCCAAAGTAGTTTGTTTGCTTCCAAGGATTCCATCGCAAGCCCTTGGCTGTAACATAGAATATTTGAACAAACACTGCGAATGCACACATCAGTAACACATGTAAAGCACACACACACACGGCCAGTGAGTGTCAAGGGACAGTTGCGGGCTGAGTGGAACAAATAATTCGACTTCTGTAAAATCTCCAAATTGCATGGGGCCAGTTGCGCATGGCCATTGCCACCATGGTCCATCACTTTGCGCATGGTCACAAGGTTGACAAAAACAGCAGCCCGCATCCTAAGCAGCTCAAAAACAAATGGGGGGGATTATCCGACTGACCGATAGAGAGAGAGAGAGAGAGATAGCCGACTAACTGGTATTATCGAAACAAACATGGCGTTGAGCCAAGTAGCTGTGCATGGGTATTGGATGCGTCCTACCTTAGGAAATTATTTTGAGGTGGGGGTTGGTTCCAAAATATTTTTTAAAAATAATTTCCATTTTTAACATAAATTTTATGTTAAAATCACCCGACAAGAGCCATAGCAAAATAATTTTTGCACCCGTACCTTGATGATGGTGCAAAATAATTTTCCACCTACAGAGGTTGAAGCACCTTGAAATAATTTTAAACAAACAACTTAAGGCACCTCAAAATAATTTCTCAGTTGAACTGGGGAAATTATTTCATATAGTTCCAACTGTATAAAATAATTACCAGACACCCATGATGAAAATTATTTCATGGGGTGGGGGTACTTGCAAACCACCTGCAAAATAATTTCAGCATATTACATCAAATTTCAACTACATATTTCAACATGTTCAGTCAGGATATTCTTTGAATCAATCTGCAGCCATTTCCAACTTCATTCAAGCCACATCCCGTCAATCCCAACACATCCCAGGGAAGTTGAGTTTTGCAAGGTTAGGTTTTTTTGGATTTCTGGGGTGGTCTAGTAGTTAACCACCCCCAAAATAATTTTTGGGGAGAGAGGAATCGATTCAGGTTTCTTTGCCCAAAAGCCGATGCTAAGTCGATGTTCTAAAAAATAATTAGTTCAGCAAGTAATTCATGGTAAATCTCAGGGTTTGTCTGTTCGAGGCAATTTGGATTTTGAACTACTCAATGGGAAGTTAATTTTGCCAGTTTAGGCTATTATTATTTCTGGGGTGGTTTAGTAGTTAACCACCCCCAAAATAATTTATGGGGTAGGAAGGGGTCGATTCAGATTTCTTTGTCCAAAAATCGATGGTCTAAATCATGAAATTCCGACAATGCTTGTCGGGTGCATTCGGGAGGATAGGTAGGGTGACCCCCCAAAATAATTTTGTGGGGATTTTTTCTAATTATTTTGAGGTGGTTCTACTTGTTTTTTCAATCATCCAAAACCATCTTAAACCACCTTGAAATAATTTCCAAAATTATTTTGAACTAAGGGAAGTGTTTTTGAGTAATAGTAGAACCCTACAAAATAATTTATTTGCAAATTTTCAGAAATTATTTTGAGGAGGTGGGTAGTGATAAAGGATATTATTTTGGGATGGTTAGAGTGTTTTGGAAAAAAATATTTTGTAGTGGGTTATGTACTGAAGCACCTCAGAATAATTCTGAAAAATTATTTTGGGGGGTCACCCTAGTGATTTTACCCAGGGTAGCCCGCATGGTATTGGCAGGATTTTCTGAAGCCACTTTCAGTGTGATCATCTCCAGCCACTGTGCCATAACAACAGCTTCCTCAGAGTCAACAACATGATAAGGAGACAAATCTTTGTTTCAGTGATTTCAACGAAGGCAAACACGCCTCAATTTGTTAGTCTAGAATCTGCTGCATTGAGTCGACCCCACTGGATCCAAAAGTTGCATTTTCTATGAAACGGGAAAACTAAAAAAAAATCCTCGGGAAGTGCACTTTCCGACACGCGAATGACACGCAGACCCGGGGTGGGGGCACCCCCCGACACACATTAAGGGGTGCCGTAGTGACACCCCTTAGGCTAAGGGGTGCCGTAGTGACACCCATGACCATACCCCCCGACACGCAATGACACGCAAATGACACGCACCAAAAACGCGTGTCAGATCAAAATCGTGGCCAGGCCCAGAAACCAAGAACATGGAAACACTGGAAACACTTTTCCTCAGGGCTGGCTTTAAGGTGAATTTTATCAATAGTGGTACTATATATAAACTAAAATTGAGTTCATTCTCCAAAAATTAGGCAAGCTTCTCTCTGGCAACCTTTTGTTTTTCTTTCGTAGCTGGAGATAGGAAGGTGACACCCTTGCGTTTGTTCTTCGCATGGTTTAACAGCACCTGGTGTCCTCGATGTGTCTCAGAATCACAACGATCCAACCTGGAAAAAAAACAATTGATGGGAGTTAGCAACCAAGTTGAATTATAAACTCATTAGGGAAAACAACATTAATAAAGACACTGGTCCCAATTAACTTGCTGCATGACCCAGGTATCCAAGTCGTCATCGCTTCGACCAAAGCCTGTACTGTGTTATGAAAGAATATGATAAATTATATGTTGGAAATCCCACACAGCACAACATGGCACCAAACAAAACTAAGTTGAAGACGTAACTTCTTTTTGCGGATGATCTCGTACAGGCTTTGTCGAATCGAATTTTCCCGGGGTACTTTGGACAGGGAAGACTTGGTGAATGCAGCACGCAGCCATAAATTTCCAGATATTCTGATATCGCCACCTGGCCAGAATTCTCCAGTCTTGCGGATCCATTGTACACAATTGTCATCCATCCGATCCATCAAGGCTTTTGTGAAATACCTGATTGGTTGATTGGTAAAATACAGTTTCAGTAATATTCATCCCATATGTTTCAGGGAAGGACCCAACCCTAACTCCCACCCCCATAAAATATAGTGGTTCAAAGCGGTGACAAGCTTCACAGTCTCCCCATTGCTAGTCCGACGCTTGCGCTTCGGCATTGCTAGCACACCAAGGGGGTAGCAAAGATCCAGATTGGAAATTATCCTATGGCATCTATGGCTTTGGTAATGTTTATTCTTCAAACGGCATACCAATAGCTGCACAGCTCATTCTAGTGGATCTGTATTAGATGCCATCATACCACTTGTCATCATCAACATGAGCCGTTGCCAGGCTGCGGATGGAAGTGAGCGACATACTATGACAGCTTTGATGGCCCCAGATGGGAAACGTGAGGTATGAAGATGAAATAGCCAAAAATGGGACGATAACAACCATGAAATCAAACGGGTGCCGTAGCGAAGCCCCTGCCTAAGGGGCGCCGTTTTGGCACCCATTGGCATGTGCTGGTATATATATATATATTACTATAGTTGGTTGTAAACCAATTTCACTGACATAAATCAACTATAAACCACGCAAAATCTTTTTCTTTCTTAGTTAAATCCCAACATTTTGAAGCTTAGAATCAACATTTACCGACCTTTTTAGCCACCTACCCACCTAGACTTACCCCCAAGGCCAGCTTCATCACAGCCGGTGCCATCAAACTGGGCGCTGTAAGCTGCGACACCTCGGGTGTGGTGCGCTGGATGGAGGGTCGGCCGCAGGAAGCCGGACGGCAGGCGCGGCCGAAGGCGACTGAGAAAGGTGGCCAGGTTATACCCTGGTGGTCGCTATCTACCTATATATTATATATTATATGTTGTTATATAGTATAGTATTTAATATCGATTTATATATATATATATGCATTGAAATTAGCTGTGTACAATATATTATATATATATGTGTACGTATGGACACTAGATGGCTAAGGGGTTAGTGAAACTTTCCCGTTTTTGGAATGTGGTTCCTGTAGATTTTCGCACACGTAGGCCAGACAGATGTTTCCTGTTTACGTGGAACATTTCATCAGTATCATCAGTCCTTTGCCATGGGGATATCAACCTGAAGATACAGCAATAATCAGTAATAATTTATATTTAGCACCAGAATGGGGATATAATCCAGAAAGCAGTGGGATTGTACTGAGGTGTTCAATGGGAACTGTGAACTACTGTAATTCAAGATGAGAACTGCACCCTCAACGGACCGATAAGCTTTCAATGTATACCGTAGAGAAACAAGGTGAAATCGCCACAGAGATCTTAACACAGCATTTCCTTTCGTTATTCATGTTTGTCCTTTCCAATCCCCTCGAACACCTGAACATTGGATTTCCTTCTGGTACATAGCTATGGAAAAAATCACCATGTTTGATAGGTAAATCATACATATATGGTTCATGTTCCATAGCAATCTGTGAAATTGCCAGATGGAAAACCAATCCAACGACTCATCCATGAAACCAGGTGGTCTGCAGTTTCAGTGAGGGCAACAGCAAAGTGGACTTGACACCCAAGGATGTGAATGCCCGAACTCGGGTGCATGAGTATGGCGGCGTTCCATACTGGATCGGTGCTGATGGAGCGATGTTCCTGAAATGCAAATGATGTGTGACCCATAGGCAATTGAACAGTTTCCTATGGTTAGATGTCCCATTTGGTTTGATGATTAGCGAGCTGTAACAAATTACCAGAGGTTACACGCTTTGCACCTGTGAAAATTCCGGGTGACGAAATCACCCGTGGAAAAGCAGCACTCCATGGCACTCCGCACCCAGGTTCTACACCAATTTTGCCGATCAAAGACTGTATCTGGCTTGTGGTTTTGAGCAAGTGTTTTCTAATTGCCCGACTCTAGAAATTGTACGATGAATCCTGTTGACCATCATTTGTTTCAGGTCATTATTAGTACTTTCAGTTTTTTTGTCTTGGCGAGGAATTTGCCACACTTGACCAGGTATTTGATCAAGTCAGAGGGAGAGGAAGCCATTTGCCTCACTCCCTCCAGTGCCTACGAAGAGGATCGGCGCTATCGCTTTGCGGATTGCGTACTGGACATGCCCAGAAATCGGATTATTTGTGTGGCTTGACATGTGACTTATGGATACTTATGGAACCTTCTTACGCAGCCACCTCGAAGAGGATGTCCTCAATTGATATGTGCTGTTTACAATAAGTCTACAAGGGAAACCCTCCACGAAGTCATTCCCCTCAGATTACCATTTGAATAATCTCTAACTGCGGAAAAAGATATCGTTTCCACATGGCTTCTCCGGCTTCTCCACGTTTTTTCCCGTAAATTTTCCATTTAAAAAATCCAACGCTACTGCTGAGGTGCGGGAAGACCACACCGATCCCAAGCCCAGCGATGTAAAGAACAGCATCTGCGCACTGTCGTTGGACGGTAGCGGCTCCATGGAGGTCTTGGTGGAGGGTAGCTGGCCAAAAAAGGGTGAGAGGATGACCCCGAAATGTGTGGAACATGAAAATGGCATGATGATGTGTGATCCGGGTGTGCAACTGTATGATATATGATACTGTATGAATCATGTGTTTCTTTGTAATTTGGGTATGTTTGGATTGTATGATGTTGAGTGATTCAGGATGATCATGACCCATTTTGAAAAAATACTATGACTTATGATGATGTAGACGTGGTTATATTGAGAAAAGATTCTTGAGTGGTTCTTGTAAGAGGTAATGCTACCTGGCTCATTGGGGATTATATATTGTGACCCATTCTGAGAACCCTTTGAACCAACCAGTATATATAAGAGGATGACACACGGTTTTCAACACTGCTCATATGAGACATTGAGGGACTTCCCACATTTTGTGCGGGAACCATTGGGAATTCATGTTAAACCCACTAATAGAAATAGACTATACATTTTGTGTTTTTCTTATGTATTTATTTGTAATTATCTTACTTAATTCATATGTGATCTATGTGTAAACAGTGCATGGGACAAGCGATTTATGCCACAAGTTTTGGATAATATGTATGATTCTCGGCTCATGAAGCCATTCATATGGAGGGAACTATCAGGTTTGCCCTCCAGTCATCTAATATGGACAACCTTGTTGTAAGGACGGCAATGTCAAAACCACCACTTGGATATGGGGTTGATTCAAACTAGGATACCTCTAAATCAATTGGTTTATCATCATGTCAGCAAGGCGAATGCCATAACTATATGGCTACGAGTCAAAATGTAAAGCCCCGATCCATACCCTGAACCCACAGGCCGATCCATACCCCCGATCCATACCAAAACCCAAGTGATCCAGACCGATCCATACGTCTGGATCACCGCGGGCCGATCCATACCCGAATTTTGACGCAACTCCATATGTATATATATATATATATTTTGAACAAAACAATGCAGCCTGTTGTCTCTGCTGTTGGAGTACGCGCCTTTTCTGCTGTACTGTTGGATCCTGGCTCAAGGCCTTAATGTTGCATGGAATGTACAGATGCACAACTGACATATTGGGAACGTGTGTTGTCATTTAACACCGCCCCTCAGATTGATGTTCCTGTTGGACATCACTCTGTTGAATCACCATTAACATGTTGAACAGTAGTATTTTGATACATTGTTGGGAATCAACCTGTGCATTCTTACAATAAGAAGTGTTGACAAAAGATGTCGTCTGTTGGGCTCACTGCGCACCTGTTCGACTAAACTTCTCAGTTGTTGATCTCCCTGTTGCGCTCAACTTTAGGGTGTTGAACCCAGGGATGTTTCAGTTTCACCCCAGACTGTTGTTTTGGATGTCAGTCTCTGTTGTTATCTTTGGTCTGGCTTTCATCTTTGCTGCTGGTAGAATGATAAAGCTTGATGCTGTTGGAGTTGTCATCGGTGTGTTGTTGATGACATCCAGAAGTTGCTTGTTGTATTTCTCAGGCTTGACTTGTCGTCTGATGGTCCTTGACCTAACCACCATGTTGAAAATGCCCAAGGTGTTCTCGTTTGTTGATGTGTCTTTGCCGAGCCAAATTGCTGGAAAGAATCTGGCTTCCATCTTTGGCATTTGTTTTGCGGTTGGCAACATGTAGAGAACTGTTTCACCAAATTCACAGATTGGTGTCTTGCGTTCTTTGTTCCAGCGCCTCTAGTAGCTGGTGTTGCCATCTGCGTGGATTGCATACCTGTTCAACAGGTATGCTGTGTGTTTCACCATCCATGGCATGATGGGATGCTTGCTTGTGAGTCGTGCGCTGTAGTTGTTCTCAAGCTGTAGCTTGAGCGCTCTCACTTGTCCCATCAATGTTCGATGAAAACGTTCCACGGTGCCTTGTGCTTGTGAGGTGTATGCTGTTGATTGTCGTACTGCTATGTTGCTTTCCATTGCTGTTGCTTTAAGTAGTGCTTTGAGAAAATCCTCATTGCCTGAGTGTATAACAATTTTGTTGAGCACTGCGTGTGTTCTGCCACATTCCATCAGGAATTGTTGGAGGCATGTTGACAGATATTGCATGCTTCGCGTTTTGTCTTCTTTCTGCGCTGCCATGCACATGCCTGTTTCGACATCGATGGCTGTGAAAATTGGTGAGGTTGGTTGCTCGCCAATTGCTTTATAGTGGGTGGTGTCGCACTGAATCACCGGTGTTTTGTTGTGTTGCTTCGGGTAGTTGTCTGACCTACCCTTTGTTTGTACACATACAGGACACCAGCTCCTGTATGGCAGCTCGTATTCGAGCCTCTCTTGTGCTGTAGGCTGCTGCGGTGCTGGGAGGCATTCTGCCTTTCTTGCTTCTTGTTGTTCATCACCATCATCTGTGATGTCCTCATCTTTGTAGGATGTTGTCTCCTCAAAGTTAGTTGATCCTGTCCACTCTTGGTCAAGTGTTGCTTGTCTCTTTGTGGTCCACAGAGATCCTTAGCTGTTGAATGTCCAGAGGCCATTTCTGTTCCTCAAGACCTCCATACCTGGTGGTGTCAAGGTGACAGGTGTAATCTGTGCTGTTGTGCCTTGGGTCGTTTGATGCACTTCCAGTTGCATGTTGACTGGAATGTTGACAAACTCCATCGTCATGAAGTAAAGTCCATCACGTTGAACAAGTGCGACTGTTGGTGTCTCATTTAGCTGTATGTTGAAACCTTGTTCTGCCAGTCTTGTTACTGACATGATGGGTTGCGTCACTTCGCACACGAAGAAGGGAACCACCAGTTGTTGCTTGTTGATGTTGGTCATCAAGACCCGTTTGCGCCCATACACTGGGATAGTTTTATCTGTTGTTGTTCTCAATTGCGGTCCCTGCCCATGTTGCAGTGTGTACATGGGTGAGTTGGGTGCAAACCATGGTGGGCAGACATGTGTTGCTGCACCACTGCCGATCATGATGTCGATTTTAGCTTCATCCTTTTGGACTGACTGAAGTGTTGATGGGGTTGGTGTTGTTAACATCTTGTTGTCCAGTTCTGCCACAAGATGTATTGCCGGCGTTTGTGGTTCCTGCGCTGCTGTGTGTTTTGGTGCTGTCGGCGCAAGTTGTGGTGTTTGTTGGGGCTGCTGGTATTGTTGCCCACTGCCCTGGTAATAGCATGTTTGGTCGCTGCTGTACCAGCTGGCATCGTAGCCATTGTTTGGGTGATACCAATGTGCCGTGTTGTCTTGTTGTTGCTCATATGTTGTGTCCGACAAGTTGTAGACTGCTGTCTTGCAGTCTTTGGCCAAGTGACCTGGTTGGCCACATCTGTAACATACTGCCATTGGGTTCTTTCCTTTTCCTTAGTTGTTGGCTCCTTTGTTCTTTCCTTGTCCTTTGTCTGTTCCTTTCACTGGTTGCCACGCTTGTTTTTCTTTTGTCTTTCCCTTTCTTTGCCGTAGCCATTGTTGTAGCCATATCCTTTTCCTTTTCCTTTGTATCCTCTGCTTTGTTGCTTTCCTTTGTATGCTTTGTTTCCTGTGCCTCTTCCACCTTTTCCTTTGTACGTTGCTGAACTGTCCATTGGGGCCGGTCCTCCATTGTAGTTGGTGCTAACTGATGATGACGCCTGTTGTTGAAGCCTTGCAAAGGCTGCTGTTGTCCAGTAGTACTCTGTAATGATCTCTCTGATCATTGGGTATGTTGGTGCTTGTCCTGCGTTCAAGTGTAGATGCTGTTGCAAAGGGCCTGTTGCCTCATTCATGAAAATTGCTATCTTGACCTGGTCTGGTAGTTGTGTGTTGTTGTCTCGCTCATAGCGCTCGACCTCAAATTCCCATGTTGAGAAAAACTCCTCAAAGTTGCTGTGGTTGAAGGTTTGCTTGAGCAACTTTGTGAGGTAGCCAATGCTCCTTGTTCCCAGGGGATTGAGAAGCGTTGGCAAAGCTGCCTGTATACTTCAAGGCCCATTGCTGCTTGGTGTTGTCGGCACACCGTGGCTGCTGCAGCTGATGTTGTGCTGATTAGAATGTACTTGAAGTTGTTGGCTAGTTGTATCCAGCGCTCTGCTTCCTCAGGTGTTCCTGCTGCGGCTACTAGCTCTGCATCTGTGAGTGCTGTTGCTGCCCTCTCTGCTCTTCACAGCAGATCTGGGTCGATGTTGTCTTGTATGCCCATGTAGGCTTTGAACTTGCACTTCCACTCCTCAAATGTTGCATAGTTTTCATCATATATTGGTGGCTTCAGCTTCAGTCTGTGTGTTGAGGCAACTGCTTCTGTTGCTTCTTCATTTGTTGCCATTGGTGTTCCTATGTCATGGCCTGTTGCCATCCTCTCCTGTTGAGGGCCCCCCACACTCCTCTAAGTTGGGATCAAGCCCTCTTTTTCTTTCCTCGCGCGTAATTTGTTGCTGAACCTATTTCCTCTTGCCTGTTGTTGTGTTAATTGTCTTTTGTTGTATTGGGCTGCTACCCAAGTGCTCCTTGCTGTTGTTTGTTGGAGCTCACCTAGATGCTTCCAGGATCACCGCTCCGCTACCATGAAAAGATTCGCGGCAGCCTGTTGTCTCTGCTGTTGCAGTATGCGCCTTTTCTGCTGTACTGTTGGATCCTGGCTCAAGGCCTCCATGTTGCACGGAATGTACAGATGCACAACTGACATGTTGGGAACGTGTATTGTCATATAACATATATAGGGGGTACTAGGCATACCGGGATACCCCATTTTCAGTCACACCCATATTTTGCACTTGTATGGATCTTCCACTTGAAGACTGTTTGCAAAATGTGTCTACGGGAGGGATTCTCCCGTATTTTTCTACGCATATTAGTCGCTTAATAACCCACAGACCTACATGGATGTCACAATTAACCAATGAGTACTCATCAGCATCACATCAAATTGAGGATTAAATCCCCGCCCAAGAATCAACAGATTCCTTGTTTAGGATCCCAGCTGCTTTCCCCAGGCCATGACTTCTACGCCGCGCCCAAGCTGAGCCCCGATGGCACGCAGCTGGCGTATCTCTCCTGGTGTCATCCCTCGATGCCCTGGGACTCAACACAGCTGACGCTGGCGCAGCTGGGAACAGATGGCATGGTGAACTCCCAGGAGGGCGGCCGGGGATTTGGAAACTGAAAGTTGGGCAGGTGGGGATGTTATGAATGGAACATCAGAATGGACATGTATGGAAATGTTATACAATGGATATTAGATAGATATATATATATATAAGTGGAATATGAATGGAATATTCATGAATATTAATGAATAATTAATGGATGTTCATAATGAATATCAGGACAATGGATATTAATGATATTATACAACCAACAATCAAGGAACTATTTACCCCAACAGATGTGGAAAACCCATGCAGAAACCCATTCGGAACATGATCTAGAAATGCCGGGTCGTTTACCAGAGGGTAATATTGGGGGGAAGGGATTCCCCAATCACCCAGCCTTGTCCAGGAGACCATCTGCGGAGATGTCGTAGCGCAGGGAGATGATGCAGTTTCGGTGCTGCAACCCTGCTGGCAGCTGGGATTTCTTTGAAATACCCTGCGGTATCACCAAACTTGGCCGGGAAAATCCCTATATATGATTATCAATGGAAATCTTAGTTGGAAAACCATCAACTAAATCTAGTCAACGATAGATTCTCTAGCTGGCCATGTCGGAGGGTAAGCTAAAATGATGAGTGTTACCTCTTTGAAAATTTTGTTGTTGCGTTGTTACCAAGAGCCAGGTTCGTGGAAGTTTGTATAGGTGGCTGGTTATCGTCCCTTTGAGGACCCGCCTTTGATTTTTAGATTATTTCAAGGTAATTTTATTGGTTATCACTTATAATGATCATAATGGGGATGTGATGATAATCACATAGAATCTCTTGTATTCAGATGCCTGAAGAGATCATGCATTGATGGTGCTTTACTCATTAGCAGCAGATGAGCAGATGGCCATCTCCCCATTCAGTGCCAAGATCAGCCCCATGAGTTGTTTGTTCATGTCATTAATATGGCATTGAACCAATAAAAAGGCCATAGACATAGAAGATGTTTGATCCCGCTCTCTCAACAGGAAAGATTGTTGCGAACAGCTGACCACTGGAGTTGTTCTGATATGTATTTGTTCTACCTTTGGAGTGCCGTGGATAGATTGAATCCAGAACATTAAAACAACAAGAAGACAGGATTAAGTCTGATTTGTCATTTATCATATCTATCTTTGAAATTCCCTCCAGCGCCCATGTCTGAAACATTTGCTCCTCAGGTCCCCCAGTGGCGTGTTGCATTTTATCGCAGACCTCTCTGGTTGGTGGAATCTCTACACTTGGGACTCAGCCCCTCAGTGCAGAAGGTCAGACAAAGAGCCTGCCAAATTCGTCGCAGAAATAGGTGATTGTAATGAGAAGATGACATATGTATGCATATGTGAACAGGGATTATCGGGCTTTCCAAATTATTGGGAACCCCCCAAAGATATGCAGTCTCCTCAACATATCCTGATTGAGTCTCTGTTTCCCAATTGAGCTGCAATTTTCACATGCACAAACAGGGCCAGAAGAATAAAGGGTGGTACGTCCTTGTGCACCCTTTGCATGTCACACAACCTAGTGGCAGGGCCCCATTGAGGGCAGGAATCATTGCCCCATCAAGCCAACCGAGGGAAGCATCCAAAATCTCTACCCCAAAGATGCTGAATTTGCCGGCGCGGCGCCGGGATGGCAGCTGGGTTGCTTGGCTGGAGCAGTTGGGTTATCAATGTGCTTAAAACATGTTAAAACAAGTTTCAACCACCCATTTGGGAAGGGTAACCATATTAAAAATGGTGAAATTGGGGATGGTTTATGATTGTTTTACCCAGATTAGATGATTTCCAAAACAACATCTTGTGCGACTCAACGGTAACCCACATGTTTGGTTTTTGAGTACGAGCCATGGGGCCCATGAGAAGGCTGCTCAGGCGTTACCAGCTTCATTTCCATTTCCTGGGTTTTGGCGAGTAAAACATGTTAAAAGCATGAGGATCATTACATTTGGACCCTTTCTTAACCAAGAAAAATGTATGTAACACCAACATGTTCTTAGTTTTGTTTGTGTGCTATACCTATTTTCCCGAGAGCTTTGATGATCACGATTTTAACAACAATATATAGTGGGGAAATGATATACGTCAGCAGTGTGATAAAAACACAATGACATGCGGTTCCCTACTACCTCATTCAACAACACAGAAAAACGGGTTTTGGTCCTTCACATTGAATACCTGGAATCCCTTCCAACTGTACAACAGAGATTGGCTGCCCATTTTTACTAGACGATGCAATGATTGTTCTACTTGGTGACTTGACGCAAGCCCCAGTTGGAGTCAATGGTTTGTTCCCTCCGGTAGTGGTGTGCGCACTTTCTCACTTTTTCGGACGGTTGCACCCAGGCCAGCAGAATTATTGTTTCCTTCCCGATGGTCGCTGTTTGGCCTGCTTTGCGGATCCAGACTTGGGTGCCAGCAGATTGGTTGACCTATCCACTGGGAAGGAGTACGGACAAGAGGAGCCCAGCTGTTTTGGTGATTGGGTGTGCACATTTGCATCTTTTACTCCTCCAACATGCAGCTCTACTCATTACAGGTTGCAAACGCTAGCAATCACAATTGATATTGATGCTACACCATAATCTTGGAACCCAATATAACTGACCTTGGGTCCGCTTCAATTAACGACGGCCAGGAAGGGCTTCCGAGATATTTTGGTGGCATGAACCCAAGCCCTGATGGTCACTTGCTGTGCAAACCTACATGGCTGTTCCGGTGCCTGCTGTGGACAGAAGACTGGTTGGGGGGGTTCAATTATTTGTTACAGTACTTGTAAACCATACTTGGGATTTCTTGGGACGATTGGTTGACATGACATTTTCATATTTTTGGGATTGTTTCTTAAAAAGCACCAGCCAGTAAAAATTGTTGGCTTCCAATGTGATTCCATTTGGTCAATGGGTTGATCGAGAGCTTCCATATTTATGAGATCCCAGGCACAGTACGATGTGGGGCCCCCCAGTTATGTTTGTTGGTTTATAAACACCAGTAAGTATAGTTATATCATATCTACCATAAACCATAGTTATTGGAGTTATAAACTGACTTAGCTATCCTTGGGGCCCCACTTAGTTATATGATGTCACCAACTTAGCTATCGACTGGCCCCACATTGTAAGACCCCAGCAGTGTCCAGGTCTTCTCTACTTCCTGGGTGGTGATCCCGCAAAGGCGCCAGGACTCTACTCTTGGAGCTTGGAAGGCGGCGAGGCGAAGATGCTGCTGAGCTCCATGAAGGAAGACATGCAGGCGGGTTCCCGGCCGAAATCGGCCATTTCCATGGTAGATTTCATGGGAACATGGGGGGTAAACCAAGCATTTGCAGTTTTTTTTGTTGTGTCCGGATTGGAGTTGTTGGGCTCTTAAGGTGATTTGTTGAAATCTACTGGGGACCTTGTAGGGTGATATACCGCAATAGAGATATAAACTTCGAAATGGTGAATCAATCGATTAACCCTCCCCCTGTATGGCCGTTTAGAGAAACTGCTGATTAAGCAATGGATTTAGGTGGATTTAGGCATTAATTAGGGTGATGGTACCCCCCCAAATAGTGGGTTTTTTGCTAGTCAAAATGAGTACCATGTCAATTAAAGACTTTTATATGTGGTTGACATAAAAAATGCTTGGATTTGTCTCTAGGTGAGTTGTCATTCCCCGTCGGCTAATCCACCAAGCGGGGAATCTACTGGGAATATATGATGATATATGATATATTATGTATATATATATATATATGTATATATTTATTGGATGTTCCCTATATGATTTGGGGGATCCCAAATCACCAAAGTTAATGGTGATGTTTTATGCTGATGGTCATTTACTAATAGACACAGGACCGGTTTATCATGGAAGGACTTGTGAATAGTGATATTCAATTATTTTTAATGGAGAAACCAGTTGAGAAATGGGTAACCCTGATTTCAGAAGCACAGTGGATGGTGGAGGTGTTGTATGGCCAAGACCTGAATCCTTTATGGCAGTTACAAGGTGTAGCTGATAAGCCGATATGTTGGCATTGTCAGCACGGTAAAAAAGTCACGGAGATCAAGGTGAAAGATCTGCACCCCCACCTACCTCAACGGCCGCTTTGATAGGAATAGAACGGCGGATGAAGCTATCAATTTGCTTGGTGCCAAGTGTCTGGAAACGGGTGGTTTTTATTGGCCAAGAGTTGGGATGAAAGGATGGCATATGATGGCATCAACAAATTCCGGAATATTACTGGGAAGATTCATCCGTGTCCTCGTTTCCTCCTGAACTCGATACAAATATAGTAGAGTCCACCAGCGTTCAAATCAATGACAGCACTCAATGTTTGTCTTATGTTCCTCTACGTTCCAAGTTTCAGAAACCTTACTATGCAGACATATTGTATCACCCATAGGATCCATGTATGGTATATATGCTAACATTCGGGGTATATTGATGGTAAATGTTACCGAATTATCCATATTTACCATACACAGATCCTCTGGGTCATATTGTTCGTGTTCGAATTGGTTTATCCCTTGAAACCGCGCTGGAATGGATCCCTGGTGACAGGTGGATGATGGATACATCAGCAAACCTGAGCTCATCGAATTCCCCACCGCGAATGGTGAAACTGCCTATGGCTTCTACTACCCTCCCAGCAACTGCGACTTCGAGGCCCCGGAGGGTGAAGCCGGTGCACCTCCCTTGTTGGTCAAGGCACATGGAGGTCCAACAGCACAGACCTCCATCGTCTTCAATCCAGCTCTGCAATTTTGGACCAGTCGAGGCTTTGCGGTGTTGCCTGGAGGTGAAGTCTATATAAGTTTTTTCCACCCGGAAAATTCAAGGGATGGATTGTCAACGTATGTACTACGTATGTCCTTTTCGTTATATTTAGAGGTGTTCTTGTTTGAGTGTCCAGGTCATGAATTCTCTTGTAGTCAAATAAGTCGTGTTTCGACGACTGATTTCATTTTTCAAGCAGAACTGCAGTGGAGAAGTCAAAGATGTTTGGACGATTTTTGGACGATTTTTGGGCTTGACATGTTGCAAAATCTTTTGCTGACAAGGCCGGACACGGCCTCTGTGGAGAAATCAATGGATACCCGACTCTCATCATGAGTTTCCTCCCCAATGGTTTCAGATATTCTCTTTTTTTTCATGCAAGGTGGTGCCCCTGTCATAAGTTTGTTTATACTGGTTGATAAACCCCATGAGCTATCATGAACTACTGATGTATCATGATATATCCTATATCCACCATAAATCTAAGAGTTAACCTACTCTCTCACGATCGTGCGGTGCCAGCTTGCATCAACCGAACTATCGCCAGGTTGGACATGGACTATCGCGGGAGCACCGGCTATGGCCGGGCCTATCGAATGAAATTGAAAGGCAACTGGGGTATCGTGGATATCGAAGATGTCTGCGCTGGTGCTGAGTACCTGGTGAAGAAAGGCGGCGGGAGCAGCTGAGCTTTACCATTTCTGTATATTTCTGTATTAGCCAATTTTCAGCATCTTTACCTGGGGTGTTGGGAGCGACCCTGAGATCATTGCAAGATTGCAAGTTCGTTGTTTGTTTGGTTCGCAGTGAAAACCAAGATGACCCAAATAGTACGACATTATTACTGTACGTATATTAAGCATGACCAAATGTTCCATGGGTACCTAGCTGACTATCAAGTAGTGACAGTCCCAGCCCCTGATGATGCCCAAGGATCAGTCTTTGTGGCATATCGCGAAGATGATTGGTAATTGGCATTTGCAAAGTAAATAAAAATAATAATAGTATATAATAATATAAATAATAACAATAACAATAATATAGATATAGATATATACATCATGCATATTTCCCGACAGTACTTGTGCATACATATATATGCGGACTTTCCAGATAGGAATGTATAGAATTAATGAAGGATACAAGACATATCATGACAAGATTCAACAGAGATTCTCACAAGTCATTCGCCCACTAACATCCATTAACCAGATCATACATGATGCTGTACTTCACAACTCACCTATACATCTACCATCATTTCCACCAAAAATCATCCAGTTTTATGGGTCAACATGGGTAAAACTATATTAAAAGTATAGGTAAATAAAATACACATATATCATATGACATATATATATACTGGCCGTCCGTTAAGCAATTTGTTTTATTTGCTGACATTGTTTTAAAAAATAGGTCTAAGTCTATCATTGTCCTGGTTCACTTTTCCTACCATCTGGCTCACTAGCATTGGCACAGAGAGTGAGCTCGGAGGTCCCTTTGATAAGATGGAAACTGACGAAAGGTAAATTAAAAAACCTTGCTAGAAGTAAGGCATTACCCCATCATAGTTGATTATTATTGATAATGCCAATCTCAGCCTAAACAAAAGGGGCAGCAGGTGCTTATGGTTACTGGCCACAAGATAGGGAAAAAATAGGGAAATAATAGGGACATAATAAGGAAATAATCGAGAGATAATAGGGTTCCGGTACGGATAGATTAAGTTAAATTGTCCTTGTTTAATTTTCCTACCACCCGGAGATCGCACTAATCCCCCCTGTTCTTATAAGATGATTTGTTTTTGTCATTGACAGACTGGACTGATTAAAATGTCATTGACAACTATATTTGGTGAGGGCACGCCCGCTGAGTGGAAGCCATCTTTGCTCAACCTGTTCAAGCTGATTGCCTTCTTCCTCATTGAAGGACTGGCTTCATTTCTGCTGCTTTTGGGTGTTGCGGATATGGCGGGTTGGATTCAATCTCCAGGATGGAATTTCCTCCAATTTGCCTCGGTTTGCTGCTCAGACATCAATGTCAAAGTGTTGGACAGCTTTTGGGAAAACAGTGTTGTTGAGTGCTTGCTGACTAAGAAAGGGAGTCATCAGGTGGCCAAAGCTGAAGGTGGTGCAGGAGAATGTGAAGGTCAAGAAACTACCGGTGATCAAGCCTACGAGGACGGTGCGGCCTTCCAAGAAGAGGAACTTGGGCTGAGGAAGCATTGTCGTTGAATTCATCAGTGTGCCGGATTGCGGCCAAACTGTTGGAATTTTTCTGTCATTCCAGTGGGTCAGTGTCAGCGTCAGACTTTAACTTTGCCATGGGAAAAACTTCAACTTAGCCTTCGAATTTCATGTCAAATCCACGGGTTTTGCCATAGCAGTTTTTGTGTGTGAGCATCAGCAGTTGCCAGACTGAAGCGTCAGGCGCATTTTAAAGTTGCGAGTGCTTGCATGGCCAACGGCCGAAGAGCCTGCTGCGTAGCAAAAAGATGATGCGGAACTTTTAGTTTTGGCAGCCCTGACTTGCAGTTTGGATTACAGTTGTCACTGACGCCACCTGCATGACACGGTCAGTCACTGACATGCGAGTTGCAGATTTCACGTGTTTTGATCTGAGGCTGGCACACTGCTGCTGATCGTGTTCCAACGCTGACCAAGGTTTAAAAAGAATGAGCTGAGCGATCGTCTTGCTTGGATGGTTTGCTGAATGACAACAGTGACGTCATCATGAATGTCATTGACATACTGTGTTGTGCCCCTACCATTTCTTGGCCTCATTGTTTTTATGGAACCGCCAAGTGTGTTCACAAATCATATAAAGAATGGTTTTGCACACACCAAGTCTTCAGATTTTGCGGCTTATGACTCACTAAAAATGATATGATGACATGGGGTGTAAAGTTGCTGTTTTAAAGTTTAATGAAATGACGATAATGACCATCTGTTTGAAGCTGCTGTGCTGTTCCAACTTTTTTATGTCAATGACGGTTCGTGGTTCTACCTGTTTGCAATTGGGTGTCAATGACAACTGCAATTTTAACGTGTACGTGTCCCTATCTCTCGATTATTTCCTTTTTATTATGTCCCTATTATGTCCCTATTATTTCCCTATGATTTCCCTATTTATTTCCCCATAATGTGGCCAGTATCCATAAGCACCTGCTGCCCCTTTTGTTTAGGCTGAGATTGGCATTATCAATAATAATCAACTATGATGGGGTAATGCCTTACTTCTAGCAAGGTTTTTTAATTTACCTTTCGTCAGTTTCCATCTTATCAAAGGGACCTCCGAGCTCACTCTCTGTGCCAATGCTAGTGAGCCAGATGGTAGGAAAAGTGAACCAGGACAATGATAGACTTAGACCTATTTTTTAAAACAATGTCAGCAAATAAAACAAATTGCTTAATGGACGGCCAGTATATGACATATATATATATGACATATATAGTCATATATATATATATATATATTACATATATAGGTCCCATGGATGATACGAGTTCAAGTCGCTCGGGGCCGCAGGTTTGGCCGATCCCAAGCGTTTGGCCATCGACGGTGGCTCTGCGGGGGGCTACACGACCCTTGGGGCCCTGACCTTCCGCGACGTCTTCACTGCAGGCTGCTCCCTGCACCTTGGAATCCTGTTTTATCCTCTGGTAAATTAACATAGACCCTGGCAGATATGGGTTGGAAGATTAGTGTCCATTAAAACTAGGCTATTTTCGGGGTCTATGTTAATTTACCAGAGGGTAAGTCTAAAACCAACCAACATGTCAAAGCTTTAACTGTAAAAGGGGAATAAAATGGAATAAATGGATCCCACTGGGCTTGGATGGTTTGGTGATCCTTTGGTTGTGTTTGCGGCATTTTCTCTGGCACGTACCTGTGCATCTCCGCTCGATTTTGAGGTATGGCGTAGCAGATCTTGCCACCCTGGCGGGAGATACGCATAAGTTCGAGAGCCGGTACTTGGAGCCTTGACAGTGGAACTAGGGGACATGGGTTAGTATACGAATGATGGGGATACCTGGTTTACCTGACAAGAACAGGAGCAGGATTTGTATCCTGAAATGGCCAGATAGTCAGATAGTCAGACCTGTTCAACTGGTCAAAGAGTATCAGCCTTCCATGTTCGTCCATGGGTTATCCCATGGGTTCACCTAGATTTCTCTGAAACATGGCGAATCAAGGGTCTGACCTGCCCTAGGACGGCCTGGTAGGTCCCTATCCGGAGCAGAAGGCCCGATCTTGGCGTGGCGACGTCTTGGGGGCTTCCAATTTGTCCACCGCTTGGGAGATTGAACATCCCCTTTTAAAATGATGTCTTCGGAAGAATTCCCATCGAAATTGATGAATTTGTCTCGTAGGGTGCCCAAAAATCCAATCCATTTAATCAAATGTTAATCATATAAGTTCTACGCAGATCTATGCAGTAAACTTGACCCATAAAATCTCGGGTGATTTCTACCACCCCAGCTGGGACCCCGGGACATGACATCAAGGCTGTCTATGAGGAGCGGGCGCCCATCTGTCACATGGAAAAACTGGCCTGTCCCATCCTTCTGCTCCAGGGAGACGAAGCGACCTGGTGAAATCTGGTGAATGGGATGGATGGCTTACCAAAGATCGCAGTAGGATTGAGAAATCTTGAGAGAGTTTTAATGACTTTGATTAGTGTGTAAATTCTAGCTAGTAACATTTAACATCATTTAACTATAGCTTTTCTGGCCGAGTTATAGCTTACATCTAATTAAATATATTCAATATTGGCAGAAAACTTGCTTTCCGTGACTGATTTGTTGCCACCTCACCTTGGATGATGCGACCTGAACATCATAGAACTGGGTGATTTTTTTCACGACCTCACTGCGACCCTGGAATGATGGTTAGTAGGGTTGAATTATCCCAATTATGTGAAGCATCCCCTTTTTTCAGGTTGGTGAATGATTATAATTAATTTACATACCCAAGATAATCCCAGAGAATTATCCCAATATATCCTTGTTTTCAGGTTGGTGAATGATTATAATTTTCCCATATACATGTTACGTTGTTGTTTTGGTATCGGACATGGATAGGTACTCCACGGTCCTCAGCATTTTTTCTGACCACCATGGACCAGCCAGGAGCTGCTCATGGTATTCAATTGGGAAGTTATATTTAAATCAGTGCCCTAGGTTAAAATGATAATAATTGTATAATGTTAAACATGTTTGAACAGTTAAATTTTAAAATATGTTAAAATAATGTTGTACAATGATAGAAATTCTGGTTCCTGTTTGTTTATCAAATCATTAGGGGAAAACCAGCAGTATGAGACAAAGATGTAATCCAACAGTTCACTCGCACCAGAGACTTCAGTCGCTTCATGTGGCAGAAACTTCTGTTTGATTCGATCGGTTCTTTTGGTCGATCGCCCAACATAGAAGGCGGTGAGCATTTATACTTCAATTATGATTCATTCTGATCCTATTCTCTCGCCTCAGTCTTATGTGTGTTTCGTCCTTCAAGTATAGGATGAGCCACCATGTGTCATTCTGTTTTAACCCCCCAATAAACCAGGCTGGCACCACCATGTATCATTCTGCTTTAGCCCCCATTAAACTATGCTGGCAAGAAAACATCAACTGATCTTCCTATTGTAATTGGCCACTTCACCAGCTGAGGACAAGATTGTGCCGCCCAACCAAGCTGAGCTGATGTACGACGCCGTAAAGGCTCGGGGCTTGCCCTGTTCCTTGAAGATTTACGAAGGAGAGCAGCATGGCTTCAGACGTACCTTGGTGGGTCTCTGCTGGGTCAATGGTCATCCCCAAAAAGGTGAGACGTTCATGGCTAGATGATCAGAACAGCCTGAGACGTTTCGTAAAATGCTGTTTGATAATCAATGGAAAACAAACTCTAGTATTCATGGTTTAGTTTACCTGAAAGTATTAGATTATGTTCAATTGACATTGCAGAAAACCGCTGCTGAAGGGTTCATGTTGCAGTACCATGAATTGGGATGGAATGCAAGGGCCAAGTGTGCCCCGCAGTCCTCCCAGCATGTTCAGTTTAGTACATGGGTCATTAAATGTCCCCATTGAACATCACCCAACCATTAGGTATATGGTCTATAATGGCTACTATAAGGTGATGTCCAATATACCCAAAATGGGACAGTTACCAACCCCTGTAGTAGGACAAATCGTTGCTTTTCCAATCTCACACTGATTGAAAGTATTCTCAGGTAGTGAGAACATCGAGGATGCCTTGAACTCTGAGCAACTTTGCTGCATCTAGCTTCCTATTACTTTCAGGGGTCCAGTTAAGAATCACTTGAAATGGTGGCTAAATAGTGATTGAACCCCCAAAGGTGCAAAGGTGATGTTCTTTGGCGTGGACATACGTGCTTGATCAACCACACGAATGTGTGCAAAGCAAAAGAACTGTCGTTCTGACTGTCTCCATTTGCATGCGTGTAGTTCTCTCATGTTAATGTAGGTGCACAGATCTCGGTGCACATACCTTCTGTTTGTATGCCGCCGCCATTGACCGAAACTTTGTCCATGTCAATCAGACGATGAGTATGGGAATGTTCATAAACAAATTATAAACACATTAAATCCCCATTTTAAATACAGCACACGTCGAGATAGCAATGACATTTTCCCCATGATCGTGTTGCCAGGCTTGCCTTCTATGGCCGCATCTTTAAGTTCCAACCATCTGCTGGAAGGGATATCGACCTGCCCAGCCTGGAGATTGCGAACTTGGCGGATTGAGCGCTTTCCTGTGAGAGCACATCGATTGTGGAGTGGAGAGAAAATGCTGGTGGAAAGATACTCTGGACACATCATGAAGAGAATTCATGGGCTTGTAAGATGAATTTCTGGGTGTGTCGGAAAGTATGATAGAACAGATTTAGGATACTTATATGTCTATAGAGCTAATATAATCGTTCATTTTGGTGGATTTGGTGTTCGTTCTGTTACAGTCACAGTGATCAAAACTTCCCAGCTGTGAGACGACTTTATCTCCCAATGATCATCCTGCATGTTTTCAAGGCAACCCCACCAACTTGGAGTGAGCCTTGGATCTTGCGCTTTGACATGGAAACCTTGAGTAAAACCCTGCCGATGTCCATTCATTCAGGCCATTTGCTTCTCAAAACATCTGGCAGTTGGTCGTGAAGGCCATAATGTTGAAACATGCCAGGAGATACCCATACAGTTTTACAACGTTTTACATAATACTTGTATGCTATATATTATGCATTATTATTGTTAAAAAGAAAACAAATTCTTTTGAGCTTGACAGTTCATGGCATGTCTATTGGTAGGGTAGCCTGTTGACATGCTGATGCACTTGATGAATCCCAGCTTGAAACTTGCAAAGACAAACTCATGTTCTACATATTTCTTCTGAACATTTGATGTCATTACATTTTACATTTCCAGCATGAAAGGGAGTCCCTTGCTGCTACTTGCAATTCTCAAATTATCAATTAACAAAAACAAACCAGCTCATCCGTTCAATCGCTGATAGTCGGGCAGCCAAACGGACGTTTCCCTGATTGGCTGGCAAGCCTCTTTGGCCTCGACTAACCAGCGATGAAGCGCTGTACATTCATCTGTGCAGGGCACCTGTCGGAGATGTCCCAAAACCATGCATGAGTCGAGCTGGTCTGTAATCGCCTGCGCTAAGGCGGCGCAAAATCGGGGCGGATACTCCTTGTGCTTGCTGGTGCAAAAGCCGCCAGCAGCATCCCGCCCAATTGCTACAGCAGTCGGGCGCCTGGCATCTGGGTCGGCATGCTTGAAGATTGAGGCAAGGAACCTTGGTAGCCTGAGCGCCAGAAGCCCTGTTGGTTTCGGTACCGAAGAACCGAAAGGCCATTGCGGAATCGTGTGCAGCTGTACCTCAGGGTGGTTCTGCATCAATTGAAGCCACGGTGAAGTCCAGATCGATGGTCGAGAGGCGTCTTTGGGAGTCGCGGGATGCTCGCTGATGAAGCTGCCGCCCTGAACAGTCTGATACGCAAGCAGAAGGAGCCCTTGCATAAAAAACTGTGTTCCCACATTCAGCTGAGCAAGTTCGCGGAGCGAAAGTCCCATGAGCCCCAACAATCGCTCAAACGAGCGTAGGGGCCGTGGCGCCTTGCGAGGGCCCTCATCTCCTGGTGGTAGTTCTTGAAACCTCGCCTCACTGAAGGTCTCACAGGGGGTACCGGCCAGAGTGGCCGATACCCATCCACGTTCATAACAATCCACCAGCTTCGTCCAAGATGCCGCTTGAACCGCCAAATTGCCATACGTCACCGATACAGCCGTATCCATGGAAAGGATCGTGACAGTGACATTCCTGCGTTTGGCCCACTCGTCAATGCAGCAGTGAACATCTCCCCAACGTCTGCGGCCTGAGAAGATATGCACCAGTAGGAAATGGGGGCGGCCTTGCAGCATCTGATAAATTGGCGTATGCCGGTCAACCGGCAGGGTAGCCCACTTGACCAGGCGAAGGCCTCGTAACCACTCCTCCTGCGTCTCGAAAGCCGAAGGGACAACCTGTATGGTGCGCTGACGCTCACCAGGATTGGCAGTGCCCAGTCGTCTCGGTCGATGCGGTTGCGCGGGGGTCACGGCCTCCTGCTCAAGCTGCTGGATCTGTTGGCGTTTGAAGGCAATACGGTCTAATCCCTCAATGCGAGGTAAGACCTTATAGAGCTCATAATATGCCTCCTCAATTGCGAACTCAACCTCACCGTCCAACGTCTGTGCAAGAAGCTCAGGAAGGATGTGCTGCCCCCATGAAAGAAACACCAGTTCTGTCCATGCTTCAAACTGTGCATCAAAGGTGAAGAGAAGACGCATCCACCAATCACCTAAATCAGCCGTAGGCACTTCAGCTCTGCTTCTACCACGGTATTTGTCAATCCAGATCCTAGTGCAAGTGGTCAATCTGTCCGCCAAATCTTGGCCGGCTTGCAAATGGTTGTCTGGCCTGGCTGGAATGGCAAGCTCTGCCTCAAGCTCTTCTATTTCCAAACGCAGTGTCTGGATCTGCTCCTCACGCCAAGGGCGCAATAATTGTTGAGGTCCCGCGGTCTGCAAAGCATCAAAGCGGATGGTGCCTTTCAAAGCAGGCGTGAGCCGTTGAACCTGATAATCACCTTGATGTCCTGCCTCACGCAAAGCTTGAAAGCATCGATTCACTCCACATCCTCGAGGCATATAGGAGAGGTGTTGCTGAAGCCTTGCACTCGTCCAAAAGAAGCGGAGGCAGTGAGCACAGGTGGCTCCGCTTGTCATGTGATGTTCAGGCGCATAAATCTGGTGCGCTTTCACTCTGTGCAACGCAAGCCCTTGTGGCGTATCAAATTGTCGCCCACATGCACAGCTATGGATTTCACCTCGTGATGGTGGGGAGAGAATGTCAACTTCAGGGTTGAACTCAGCCCCTCCTCCCCGCAAGATCTCAAAGAAGCGGCTGTGGAGCTGCTGCAAGTCCGTCATCATGTATTCCTGGGCTTTGGCAGTCATCAAAGCAAACCGCAAGGTTCTCTTCCAAGGCGATTTGGGATTTTGCCAAAAGTCAATAAGGGCAGTGAGATCTTGCCCTTGGGGAGAGGGAAAGCGGTTGGGCGCTAACTTTTCAAGCCACCGAATGTCCTCTTGCAGTCCATGCATCCACGAATCCATGGTGTGTGTGTGCTCAAGATGGACAAGTCGCTGCAGAAAATCAGGCCCGTCACGAAAAAGTTTCCGGGCATAACGTAATCTGTCAATGGCCAGTAGATGTCGAATGTCCATGGTGTCAGCAAGCTGGAAAATTCTGCTGTTGGAGTGATGCTCCTGGTGGCCCACACGCAAAACACGCTTCAAAAGGCTGACATAAGTGGAACGCAGCAAGTGAAGCAACTTGAGCGGTGGAGTCCTCCAGGTTCCTAAACCATAGAACATTCTTGTTTCCACAAAAACCCTGAAGAGTCGCAGTCGCACATGGACTGGCAAATGGCGGTTGGTGAGAATTGGCCTCCCCAACATGGTCATTGCACTCTTCGCCTGCCCAATACGCTGCCGGATTTCAACCTCTAAGGTCTGGGAGGCCGCATAGGTAAATCCCAAATGCTTGTATGTATTCTTGAAATGGAGCCAAACAGGCTTGTTGGAACCAACTTCACAATCCATCCCTGGTCGATCAATCAACAGAAATTCCCGACGCAAAGCGGGTGCATCAGGGCCCTGAAAACTGACAACCACATTTGTTTTGTTGAGATCATAATTGACCGTAAATCCATGCTTGGCAAACTGTTCATCCACAAAGCGAACAAGAGCACGCACAAGCGGCAGAAGTCCAACTGCCGATGCTGAAGCTAGAGGAATGGCAACATCATCTGCCCAAACAACAGTAAGAGTGGGAAGGCCCCATTGCTGGAGGAGTTCTTGAAACTCAGCAATTTGAAAGAGCCAGTTTCGAACTGAGGTCATGATATGTGCCATAACAACATGAAACACTGCATCGGCCAATGGCGATCCAGGCCGGGTGCCTCTGGTTGTTCTGATGACTTCTTGTTGCGTGACAGTGAACCATGTGTCGGTATGCACATCCCTAAGGAGGCGCAATAAACGTTGGTCACACCCAAGCCGCTCTAGGACACTCACGAGTTCATGGCCTTCATGGCCTGCCTCGATGGGGTGTCCTGCATGCTGAAGAGTCGTGATGATGGTTTCAAAGTCTTTTTCACAGGCAACTCCAAGAACAAGCTCTCGAACCAGATGATGAAATGCGCTGGCCAGATCTAAATAGAAAACTGCAGTGCTGACACCATGCTGTTCAAGAATGTGAGTCCATGTCATAACGCTGTGAAATCCAAATTGGACCATCTGATTGGTGAAGCCACCCAGTTGACCCTCAGCTCTTTGAGGGCTGAGAACCTTCATCAGATTTCCACGCATGAGGCTGTGGGCTCGCTTTGCAATGGAGGCTAACAACAAGATACCTCGATAGTTCATGGCTTTGCTGAGGTCTCCTTTCTTGGGTATAAGTGTCATAACGCCTCCTTTGAACTGCAAAGGTTCAACACACCATAAGTGCATCTTAAGGAGAAGGGCATAATAAAACTTCGCAATAACTGGTGCTTGATCATGATGAAGACAAGATGGCAAGGGATCAAGCCCAGTGGATCTCCCAGGCTGCGTGGCTCGAACAGAAGCTTCAAAGCATGTCAAAGAAGGCAACGCAATGGCAGGGATGGTCGCATCTTCTAAAAAACGCATGGCTTCAACCTGTCTGCAATGGCATTTACGCAACAACTCTTCAGGGGAGATCTGCTGACCAAGTTCAAGTTGGCTGAGATGCGGTGTGATCTGGTCCTCCAGGGCTTCAATGCGCGCTGGGGAAAGATGCGAATTGAATGAACTGCGAATTGAATGAACCACACACACGAGATGACTCACTGCCGCTTGGGTCAAATCCTGCTTACTCAAAATCATCATGACATCCCAGGCAAAAAATCAGAGTTTTGACTCACTCATGAGCTCTTCCAGCCCGGCTCATGCGCCGTTGCCGGCTGCTGCTGTTGGCCACGGAGCCCTTGCGCGGAGCGCTGGCCGAAGCGACGTCCAGTTGGGCCAGCTGCGCCATGGTGGAACCCCGGAGGCGGAGAACCAAGGACGGTGGGGCCATCGGGCGGTGCAGTCCAGTTGGGGTGGAAAAAATAGATGTATCGTGATCTAAGTACGGTAATAACCTCTATAAGTATCTATAAGTTGGGATATATATATATATAAATATACATATATGTATGTATATATATATATTGTTTTTTTAATCAGTAACAATCACAATCCGGGGCTCTAGAGAACCCAAACACAATTTAAACACAAGATGATTGATGGGGGTTCCATAGTAGACTACTCCATAATCCTCATTGAACCACTTAGTAATCCCAAACAACCAATGAACCAACTGGCGTTTCCACACCACCACTTTGCCATGAAAAGTTGCTTTGGCATATCCACATTGTTTCGTTTTTGGCTACACCACCAAGTTTGTAAAATCTGCATGTGCAAAAAACATCAACACCGCTTTGATATGCTTTTATGATTACTGTATGGTGAAATCCTTTATGTTTGATGTTTAAATCTCCATTTGTGGCTGCTTCAAAATTCCCCATGTCCACTTAGATGGGCCATGGGATTAGCGAACTGCTTAGTAACTGGGGTAAAGAACAAACTCTCCCAATGAAATAATCCATTTACTAACCAGTGGTTTATACTTTGGATATGGTGCTTCACCAACTATAATCTTCTATAATCCCATGAAATAACTGGGGTTTTGCTAAACACGACGCCTGGCACCATGGCACCATGGCCCTTTTCTCCAGGACGGCCGAAGCTTTCTCTTCGATCCCTGCAGCAACGCTTGGCGCCTTGAGGCGGAGCCGTTGGCCGAGCCATCGGAGGCGCCGTTGGCGCTGCCGTGGTCGCAGTTCAACGTGAGTTTCCATGGTGACTTCCGGTGTCCCGGACTAAGACGAGGTGAATATATAAATGTGGTCGCCATTGGATGATTTTTTATCGGATGCCATACTTATCATGATATACATAGAATTTGTATATGATTAATTATGTATAGTACATGTGTATATATATATATCATATTTTTATTTATGTATTTATTTATTTATTCACAATATACCTGCATAACCTTGCATAGAGATATGAAATTCGAGCCTCAAAATTCAAGGATTGGTGACAACAAAAGAGAGTCAATGTGGATGTTGGTGATGGTCATGGTGATGTTTTTGTTGATTATCATTGTGATGATTATGATGATGATGATGATGATGATATCACCACCTTGCTGTCAAATACATTGTTCAGAACGAGGGCTTGGGTTTGGTTGTGTAACATGGAACATGTGTTGTCAAACAACGGTGCAGAAGAGGTTGTCAAACATGATTGGAAGTCAAGTTACACCAATCAATTCAAGTTTGCGGAGGTCCAACCTGGACACAGATGAGATATGATGAGATCAAAGTATCATGATACAAGAGTTGGATTTAAAACCATTCAACAGTGTTTTTTCCAGCCATTGGCATTTGGGGATGGATCTCCACTGATCTCCAGCAGTTTCCCGAGGATTGGAGGCATCCCAATGCTGTTGGGTGATGATCCCCAGCGCCGGCCCAAAGATCACCAGGACCATGCGGATACAGGCAGCAGCATCTGGGATGGTGCCGTGGCGCTGGCAAAGGCAAAGGGTCACCATGGGACCAGGGTCACCATGGCTGGGGATTTACCCTCTGGTTATGTCAGCGAACTGGAAAATGGCCATTGAAATAGTGGATTTAGCCATTGGAAATGGTGATTTTCCATAGTTATGAAAATGTTTACCAGAGGGTAATAAGGGGATGGGATGACACCAAGAAACATGGTGATTTACTGGGAGATGATGGGGAGATGATGGGGATATATGTCTCGGGATGAGGAAAAGAGTGGTGTAGTTGACCCCATTTACTGTGTCATCTACAGAGGGTTAGTTCAGACATAACTTAACTGAGATGAACTAACCCGCTTTATTGGGGGGAACCACCCAGTATAGGAACTGCCACCTGGATGCGTGCTTGCGTTTGCGATGAATACAGGTACATTTGATTGTGATTAACTTAACATATATCAGTTGCAAGTTTGAGTAAAATATTCATCCAAGACACTTTAATCACAGTCTAATAAAATCTTTCAAAACTTCAAGTCGAACCCCAATTCCTTAGCTGATATGTTCTCTGGCTTGATCTGGAAGAATGTTGAGACAGAGCAAAACCTCAGAGCCTGTCACTCCTCCTGTGAAAGGTGCTGGAACAACAGCCCTTCTTGGTGCGTGGTCGCGAGGCGTCACCCCTTCATGGAGGAGAAGTCAAGCCCCCTTGTGAAATCACATGAAATCACATGAAATCATGATATTGTCCATTCTTAATAGTCAAATCTCCATTCATTGAAATTATATATATTTCGTTGTTTTTCAAATATTGAGATTCGATGATTGAGACAACTGCTGAAATCTTCCAATATTCGCTGGTGAAATCTGGTGAACATCACAATATTTCATAATATTTTAGCTGTGGTCTACGTCAAGGGTCAAGGGTGCCCAGGGCAATGACGGCATTTGTAGCGCGCCTCCAGTACCTCCATGCTGGCCTAAGCACTTCCCAACCAGTCCCCTAGGTCAGTATTGCGCGGGCTCTCTCCTGCTTAACTGTCGGAGTTTATCCCTCTTCAATCAACATCTTCCCTTTCCATCAGCTGGTGAAATCCCATGTTTTTCAATGTTTTTCCATTGTTTTCCATGCTTTTCCATTGTTTTTCAATGTTTTTCCTGGTTTTTCCATGTTTTTCCACGTTTTTCCCCATGCTTTTGCCATGTTTTCCTCGCCTTTCAGGTGCTGGAGCTGGGCGCCGGCCGCGGCCTCAGCGGCCTGGCGGCCTGGGCCTTGGGCGCGCGCAAGGTGCAGCTGACGGACCTGCCGTACGCCGTGGAGGTGCTGTTTTTAGGTGGGAAAATGATGGGAAAATATGTATGGGTATAACTATGGCTATATATTAGGTATACTCAGGTATAATTATGGTCACATAGTTATACCTAATGATGGGGATTAGAGTTGTGGCCATGGCTGGTATAACTATAACTATAACTATGTATAACTGGTGATTAATATCCCATGGCTATAATTTTTTTACATATCCAATCATGTAGATATCCCATGATGGGAAATACCCAATAGATATTTATGAGACATGATGGGAAAATGATTAGAGTTGTGGCCATGGCTGGTATAACTGCTGGTATAACTGGTGATTTCGGATGAGATACATTTTATGGGCCTATGGGCGTTTCTGAGTTAGGTACTTATAACTGGTATTTTGGGCCAGAACTCAAGGGATGGTGACTTGAAGTGTTTGAATTTTAGACTGTTTTATAGGACTATCTATAGACAATCATCGACTTGAATTTTGGAGTTTTTTTTTTAATATCTATAACATGGTATAACTATCTATAAAAAGGAGAATATCATCGGAGATTGGGCTATTGATGGGTACTTATAGTTATAAATCCTCTGTCCATGGAATGGTAATGGGATGATAATGGTAGTTTCATAAAATTGTGAGTGTTTTGTTTTAACGGTTATTCATATTGTGGAGATATAGATACAGTCATTATATGTTATTATAGTGTGAATTGTACATCCCCAGTGGGTGAGAGTCCCTTTTTTCCTGTGATTAAATACTGAAAATTCTGATATATAATATGTTAGATTCTTAATATTATAGAATATGTGATATTGTGTACTCTAGTTATATAACTTTATAATTTTATACTGATATACTCTAGTTCTATGATGTTATATTCCCCATCACCCCTAGTTAAGCAAGTTGTAATCCTACTGATTGGATTCATCGGGGCTGTAAATCAGATTTAGATACTAACGACCCCGATGATCCAAGTCTTTCCTGTCTCAGATAGCGGCATTTAGATCCATGGTGAATGTTCTCTATTGATATAAAGGTTATGAAACTTTGAATGACGGTTGTAGTATATTTTAATATATTTTATTTGCAATAGTATTTTATGTTTAGATAGATGTTGGGTAACATATCTACTTCTGGGACGATATGTGTATGGTAGATGCTTAAAGTAATGTATCGGCAGATTTCCGCCAGCAACTGCTCGACATATCACTATATCACTCTCTACACACATTGTCCAGCTATATTGGGATTCAACCGCCAAAACTTGAGGGGTAATTAGCATGTATGGGAGTATATGTATAATCTATAAAGAGATTTGGAGTGTTCCTCACCATATGAAAGTCATTTGATTAAAATATTACCTGTCACAACAGTGGGATGATGATATGCTGGGCCGCAAAATGACCCAAACCAGAGAATATTAGTAATTAAATCAACAACAATTTTCTGTTTTGATCACGAACCATAGGGCTACAACAATGACACCGGATTGGGGTCGAATTGGTCATTTTTCCGGCAACAATGACATCGGATTTTGTTTGCAATTTTAGCTCACCATTTCTGATGTTTACCCTCTGGGAATTTAATATAGGTATGGAAAACTGCCAATTTATGGATAATTTACCTGCAAAAGAACATGATGTTTTTTTCCATAGCTATGTGAAATTGCCAGAAGGTACCCAGGGGTAAACCCAGAAAAAGATGGTGGAAAGCCAGTGGCTTCCCGATCGGAAACTCAGGCCATGGAAATTGCTGTGCAGTTGACCTGCGCTGGTCACAAGGCGGCTGGGCATAGGTCTTCGGGGGACCGAAACTTGTGAGCCCCAAACATTGGATGGCTAAAACAATATTTAATCTCTGGTAAAGTCCCATAGCGAACTGGAAAATCACTATTGTCAATTGGTAAATCAACTTTAAACGGCCAGTTTCAATAGCTATGTTAGTGTAGCAGAGGGTAAGCCATGACCTATGACCCATGGCTTTGGTGGGATCTAACATGTTTGAACAACATATGAAATATATATGATCATATCTGTTGAAGGTTGAAATTTGATGGTTGAAATGTTAAGGATGACCAGCCTCCTGTGGGTCCCTAGGAGTGGCCAAAACCGGAAGTGGCAGAACTTGATTGGCTGAAGGCTGAGGAGTTCTTTGAGAACAGGCCCCTGGACTGGATGGAGCATTGCAGATATTAATAATCTTGAAAGATGTCTCAAGAAGGGTATGGGAATGTAAATATAACATAATATAACATACACAATAATCACTAACTGCTCATCATCATCATCACCACCATCATTATCATTGCCAGAATGAAACTATTCATCATCACCATCGTCATTATAATGATGATACATATCATCATCAGTAGGATCAACTCCATCATCGTCACCACCATCAACATCATGATTGAGACGCTCATCTTTTACATTGTTTTCATTTACTACGGTATCATTTTCTCATCTCATCATGATTATGTCGTTCATCTTTCATATTGTTATCGTTTACTACGGTATCATTTTCTCATCACATGGGCAAGATACATCACCCATAGTGTATTTATTTGCTGTGTGTGAGGCGCGTTCGTCCGAACAAAAAAGATTGTTTGTGCAGTGCAGATGTTGTCCAAAACTGGTTTCGGCCAGCATTGTTAAACATGTTTGGGTCAAACTTGGTTAGATACTTTAGTACTTTCAGTTTTTGCTATGAATGGTAAGATGTACTGAACAGCTAAAAAAGAACATATGTTTTTGGGCAGGTATCTAAGATTCACCATGTTGCAGAAACCATGCCTTCAATCAGTGCCTGCTTTAAGCCGCTTGGATGTGTCACAATTTTCTCTTGTTTGTTTCAAGTTCGGATTCTGGTATATGTTGGTTATTTCCACTCTTGAAATGTTTTGAACCCTTTGTCGGTTGTAGCATACCCGAGAAACTATAGAAATTCGTAAAACACAAATCACTAAAATAACTAAAAAAATAGTGATACATGATGTGTCTTGAATTTTTTGGAGATTACTATAAACATAACAAAATAGTGACCTCATTCCGCCGTCGCCAGGGACACAGACCTGGATGTGATCCTTGCAGCGGATGTGGTATGGCTGATGGACTTGGTGGAGCCGCTGGCAGATGCTATCGCCACAGTGGCTGCGCGGTGACGGGAAACACACAGCTACTTAGATGGGCCATGGAGTTAGTTAAGTAGTTAGGAAATGTTAGTAATACCTTGAGATATATGGGATTATATCCCCAGTCACTAACCAGTTATCTAATCCCATGGTCCATCTAGGTAGACTTGGAATTTTCAAAATTTGGGGGATTTGAGAGGGGATGAACATCAATGAAAGCTATCTCCATAATTATCAATTTAGCACAATTTAGCAGCTGTTTTGGTGTGAACTGACCCAAGCATCAAAGGTGGTCACGGTGATTGACATGGTGCCATTGTCTTCTCGCCTCACGAATTTTCTTTTTTCCCCACCTGCCAGGTGAGGGTTGTTAGATTTTATGTCAGTTGCCTGCTCCTCCCCTCCTCTCCTCTCCTCCTCCTCCTGCTCAACTGCGACCCTCGACGCACAGTGTTCTCTGTCGGACCTCAACCACGACCATCCACGCCCAGTGTTCCCTGCCGGACCTCAACCACGACCATCCACGCCCAGTGTTCCCTGCCGGACCTCAACCACGACCATCCACGCCCAGTGTTCCCTGCCGGACCTCAACCGCGAGTATCCACGCCAAGTGTTCCCTGCCGGACCTCATGTAGGAAGATATGGGACAAAGAATGTGCAGAAGAAAGTTAGAAAGAATGTCAGACAAGTATGTTATATATTACTTGCAAACTCGCGCGTGTGTGGTAGAGTGACCGGGGCAATGCCACTTCTTACTTTGCAGGTGGCAAAGTTTGAAGCAATCAGTTTGAACAGATGACAGAGTCACTGGGGTGGACAGAGACATTTCCACTTCTGTACCTTTGGAGCTGTTTGACAGACTGACATGCACAATGACCTGCCAGGTGAAACAAATGATTGGGATAGTTAGTTGGGCAAAAGTCCCGTGACAAAAGCTTCAGACAAAAGTGGTGTCAACAAGCTGTTTTGAAATGTCATGGTGGGGATCACTCGAAGCAAAGTAATTTTTAATACGATCTTTGTCCGCCATTGTATATATATATAATATTATATGTATTATTTAATGTATCTGTGAGAGCATTGCGTGTTTGTAGCATCATAGCGTCCCCCATTTCATCTAAATGGGAAATTTCAGGTCGCCAAGTACCACCCAAAGGTGGAGGTTTTGGTGGTTCACCAGACACGTTCAGCCAACGTGGAGCTGGCATTCCTCAAGGCGTCCTGGGGTAGGGGTGATTCATGAAGGATAAATACTCCAAAGATCAGATACATATATTCTAATTAATATATATATATGTATGTATGATTCTACAATATTCTACATGTTTCTTAAATATTACAAAGAAACGCACTGTATATGGACTTTTATTGTACGTGGTGTGTATCTACAATATATACATATATATATATATACACACTATATGCCATATTATATATTATGGTTTACTATATTGTATATTATATGTATATTATATATGTAATATAAATATGTAATTTGGATATTGTATACAGTGTCACACACACACACGCGCGCTCATCTACGCTTGTATGCACAGTTCAGAGACATTGACATGTTCGGAAGCTTTGCATGGGGGCCATGTGCATATTTGCCAGTATATGTGTAAGTTTTATCTCAAACTGAAGCTGTATATTAGTTTCAGATTGTTCCAGATGTCCCCCATGCGTTTCCACACTTTATACTTAAAACATGTTGAAACACATTCTGTATACATACATACATACATACATACATACATACATACATACATACATACATACATACATACATACACACATACACACATACATACCTACCTACGTACATACCCACATACACACATACACACACACACATACACACACACATACACACACATATCCACACACATACACACACATATACACACACACATCCACACACAGATACACACACACATACACATACAGACAGACAGACAGACAGACGGACGGACAGACAGACAGACATACAAACATACGTGCATACGTGCATACCTGCATACATGCATACATGCATACATTCATACATTCATACATGCATACATGCATATACATGTATGTATATATAATTTTATATATATACAGAGATGTATATGAAAAAACATGTATACACACACACATATATATATATATATAATACATACACATCTACTGTGTTTTAAAGAAAACATATGAAAACGCACGGGTTTCCCAAGAGCTTGCAGGCCATGGAGACGCGTTCCTTCGGCCAACCAATTTGGACCCTGCCCGGTGGGCCAGCGGAGTCGCACCTGGAGCTGCGGTGGCATGAGGACTGATCGTGGGGTTGTCTGATCCGCTGGGAAATCATGGGAAAATCAAAGGCCAATTCTCGAAAATGAATGTTTTTTGGCTGGAAAATCATCGAACTAATTGGGAGACTGTCCAGCAAACCACGTTTTTCTGAGCAGCTAATGATTAGCCGGAATTTATGGGGTATCGGATTTAAACTGGAGTTCATGGGGAAGGGGATTGAAGAAACAAACATGGAGATTCAAGTTTCAAATTTTGGAACATGGGCTATAGAATCAACCATTACCATTGTGTGGGGATATAGTGGGATGTAGCATTTATAACCAACAATACGGCATTTGGATGTATTTGGGTTAGTCCATAAGTGAGATTTCCAAATTTTGCCACTCCAACAGGGAAAATTGAATGAACAACCATCAAAAGTGTGAGGGTACCGTATTTTCAGACAAACTCAAATGAGTATGGATCAAAATGATTGATCCCAGAGAAATGGATGATCTAATTTGTTTCAATACCAAAAATGACAAACAAGCTCAACAAGAATTAGACCATGTCTCTCGAGTTCTGTTGAATCCTTTTTTGGGGTGAGTTAAGCCATCCAATTCTTGCGGCATTTCAATCATTTTGACAAATATGTTCTTTTGACAGCTGGTTTACCCCACCCTGATGGACAAACCTGAAAGGGATTGATGGATAGATATGCTTGGAGAAGTAGGGTGTACCATTCTGCCTTATGACTTAATCATTTAATTCATGGGTATGTAACGTTGTGGAATGTCATAAATGGGTAGTGGGTATCGTTTAACATGTTGTACCCCAAACATCAGATGCTACCAACAGGATTTTGTGCCCGACCAGCGCATCAAGCTTTGGTGTTTCAAGCTGCAGACAGAGGGTGCAAAAGAGCGGGATGCTGTAGCTGTAGCCTGCTAAACATCAGCATGTCATCCGGTTCCAACTTTTGTTCTTGGGGTGAAATCATTCTGATGTTTGGTCTTCTCATTGTACAGTGGTGAAGATCATATATTCTGCAACATCTACTTGTTATCAATACTAATGTTTGTGATATGCTCGGCTCCTGTCTGATTCATAGTTGTTAATGTTTGGGAGCAGCCAAATCTTGCAGATGGTGAATGGTAGATCAAGACGGTCATCTCTCTCTGGTCGGATGGCCGAAATGTGCTTCTGGCTCAAATTTGCAAGTGCCCAGTTTGTAAGCATATAGTCCTTCCAATGTTCTTCCAATGTTCTTCCAATGTTCTTCAGTCAGAAGCATCCATAGTCCTTCAAGTGTTCTCACTCAGAAGCATCCAAGGGCTGGAGAAGTCGATAGTTCTCACTCGTTATCAAAGATTTCAGGCCATGGACTAAGGCTGAGAAAGGCCCAGTGATCCATGATCCACTACTTCGATCCCCAACTGCCAACTGCTGCCCCATGGCAAGTCCCCCAAGCGCGCCCTTGGACTGGCCCTTAAGTCAACATGAAAAGCGAGACTGTGTCATTCGTCTCTATGATCAGGACTGATGATATTTACATCCCTCTGGATGATTTCCTAAGCCATCCTGGTTGCTACATGAGTCACAAGTTATCACTCCGAATGCCGATATGAGATAATGATGGATCATGAGTGACAGTTTTCTGATACAGCCCTCCAACTTTCAAATTCCCAAGCAGCTACATACGTTACAATGATATTGGATGTTATGTGATACTCATCGACTCATCGACATATTATAGGACGTCTCTCTTTGCAACTCGGCCAGAATAGTTGATCTACACAGCTTGGGTCACATGGGCGGAGCTTAATCAGAATATATCGGCTTTTACCAAGGTAAGAAACCAAATAAAAGCATATGCGCTCATATTTTGATGTTGTTTGGCCATTTCTTTTGTTTTGTTGTTTTTTCAGACACCCTATATAGATAAGATTCAACTGTCATATGTTGGCAAAAAGGGGTTATGATATAGTATGATGTGTTATAATATGGTATAGTATGAAATGGATTGAAATGGTATGTTTTGATGGTTTCAGTTTAATGCAGTCCATTTGCCACATGTCCTTGGAGGACGTACGCGCCACGGACGAAGAATTGGAAGCCCTGCAGGCGGAGCTCGCCTCAGTGCGCGCCGCGTCGGCGTCGACGCTGCCGCCGGCGGGGACGGTGCCGGGTGACAGCGCGTGGCGTGGGCCGCCGGGGCTGACGCACCCCGAGGATGAGGCGGAACAGAGGCTGAGCTGCAGCTTTCATCCTCTGGGAAATTAACAGTTAAAGTGGATGAAAGTGGTCCATTGTGACCTTTCGAAAATGAACATGGTAGTTTTCCATTATGTTCAATTACCAGATAGAATTAAATATTATGATTGTGATTGTGTGTCTTTTTGTGCTGAAAAATCATATTCGAATATGATCCAACACATACATATAGCATCATATAGCATTCGTATGAGTTATTGAACAATATGATCTACCTGGCTATGGCTCAACATGATGAACCCCAAACGGATGGTTTTTTGGGGTCCACTCTCAACCACCAACCATCGCCATCCCCAGGATCGCCCAACTTCGTGCTGAGATCGCCTCTGCCTCCGCCACGCTGTGCCGCGCCACTGCCGCGCTGCGAGCTTTAGAACGGAGGCAGCTGAGCGACGACGATGGCGACGATGGCGACGGACCGAGCTACAGCGGAGCCGGGTCGCGTTCGAGATCCGAGGGGCCGCATGGGTCACTTGGAGGCAGCGGGGGAAGCCCAAAGGATGGCCAGCTTCCAGGAGTGGATGCAAAACAACACTGAGATGTTTTTGGTGCACGCTCCTGAATGCTTGGTGAAGTGGCTTAATTCCCAAGAGACGGAGGCACATATTCATCCGCCACCAACTATAGTTTAGCTCCTCAAAGGCACCGATTCTAAATTATTCATAACTATTCAATATTAAATGTTATTAACTTATGACTGTAATAATCCGTTCCCCCTATTACTAAACCCCCCCAAATAATAAGAACTAGTTTCCGTCTCCAATTTTGGAAAATTTGAGCTTGGCCAATTTGCTTTTTAATTGATCTCCTTTAGAAAACAATTTAAAAATGAAGCTACCATTTCAGGGTTACACCCCCTGATAATAAAAACTAGTCAACCCCGGGGTGTTTTTTATGATCAAAAAAAAACAAATCTTATATTCAGGTTTTTAATTTAATATTAGGGGAAAGCTTCGAAATCCAATTGTTGGCAATATTTTAATTATAGATGTTAAAAGGAAATCTAATCGATTTTGAAATAGAAAAAAAACGTGTTTTTTAAAATTTACATTAGGGTTTTAAATTTAGTATTAGGGGGAAGCTTTGAAATCCAATTTTTGGCAATATTTTAATTAGATTCTAAAAGGAAATCTAATCGATTTTGAAATCTAGAAAACACGTTTTTTATATTAGGGTTTTAATTTTAGTATTAGGGGGAAGCTTCGCACCCTAATAATAAATACGCCCTAATAATAAAAACTACCTGAGGTGTTTAGTATTTGGGGGGGTTAGTATTAGAGGGAAGGGATTATTCATTTATTTCTGCTTATAGGATATAAACATAGTGATATAAAAATAGTGATTGTGAATGTTATATACACATCATTTCTACGGTAAGAAAAATGGATTTTTGTTTTGTTCACCACCATTTTCGTTGTGGTTTCCGGGCGTTCCACGGTGACCCAGGCCGCATCCTGGCATCCTGAGCCGCGGGGCCCGGGGTCACCGGGGTCGCAGCTTCGATGGCCAACGACGACGCGTATCCTTCGATGGGACGTCAGTGCCTGGACATTGAGGGATCGTTGTGAAGGCCACAGTAGGGAGAGCTACACATTATATGTACATGCATGGTGTTACAATGTATGACATAGTTACATAAAATATATGATAATTATTGTAAGGGTTAATTTATATATATACACACATGTTTATAATCAAACTGTTTGTCCGTACAAATATGTATGTATATTTATGTGTATATATATATCACTATGTGTATCTGTAGAGAGAGAGAGAGAGAGAAAAAAAAAACAGTTACCCAGAAAAGAAAGACAAATCCAACCATGGAACCCAAATGTCCCTTACTTTGGAGGTTTTGACACATCAACTGGATGAATACCTCAATGAAAGGCCTTGTGGGTTGCACAGTGATCTCCAACCTAGAAAGAATAGTAGCTTTTGCTGAAGATGCTGGTTTGACTTCCCACTGGTTCATTCACCATTTTAAAGGTCTTTACATTTTTTTTGGTCGGTCCTCCCAAGAAAGTCCACAATATAGTCAACAACCATCACAAATAGGAATCTGAGAAGCCAGCAGTGTGGTTTTAATCACCACTACCACCACCAACAACAACAGCAGCAACAAGAACAAGAACAAGAACAACAACAACAACAGAACATATTGAGAACGGTTACACCAAGCGTTGGGTCGTCTACGGTAAAGTTACAACCAACTAGTTAGCTGCTTGGTGATGAAACAGCTATATACAGTCAAGGCGGGCCTAGTAACCAACAAACATTTGGTATATATATAATATATATATATATATCTATACATATTTGGTTAAATCCCGTTTAAATCCATGAAATCACGATTTAAGTTCCATCAAGTGTCCATTTCCTGGATGGAAAAACTCATGAACACCCCATTCAAATTCCGAATCATTTGCACAGGACGCCACCGGCGCTGAGCCTGAACCTGAGTTGCCGATCCGTGAAGTACGTGAGGTGCTGGAGCTAAGGGGATACCCTGGAGATGATGGTGCTGGGCTATTATCAATGGGCATTTCAGGATCCTAAACTGGAGGTACCTACCATATATAAGGCCTATGTAAGGCCTATGTAAGTGAATATCACCACAAAATTTGGCCTTATATGGTACAGTACCTCCATTTTAGGATCCTGAAATTCCCATTGATATTAGTGAACTAAATGGTTATTTCAATGGGATGAGAAACATTCTATTTCAATGGGGTGACTTGTTAGTACTTATAACTGGTATTTCGGACCATAACTGGTATTTCGGGCCATAACCCATAGTAGGTAAACCTATCAGCCAATTAATAACTATAGTATGTATGTATATATATATATATTATTAGTATTTCATGAGATGGGATAGGGATGGATAAGTTCTTAAGAGAGCAGGGGGGACTCGTTCTGATCTTGGCTCAGGTGACGAATATGATGGGGGTTTAATTGATTTGGGCCTGGCGGAGTGGGTCGAGACCCAACAGTTGCTATGATTGTGGTCGCTCAGTGTGGCCGGATTTCGGCCGAAATGCACTTCTTTCATGCACATCAAAGCATTTGAATCTTCTGGTTGCTTTGTGATTTAGTCTACTTACCATTTTGTGGATAGATGCAGGTTATCATCTACCAAATTGTCAAGGCTTCAACATTCAAAGGCGCACTCTTTAATTAATTGTGTCCATTTGAAATGTAATTATAGCTATATATTAGTTGCTTTCCATCCTGAATCCAGTGATGTTTGCATCAGAATTGTCATAGTTCATCCCCGCCTTGACAACTTGAACGCGTCGCAGGAGGCTCAGAGTTATTTGAATCGCCGGCCTCGTCGCTCTGTGCCAAATCAGAGGCCAACCTTTTGGGTTCCCCAACAAATTGACATGGAACCCCGACATAGTCATGTTAAATAGGTCAAATCATGTTCCAAACATGTCCCAACCTATTGTTTGTTGGGTTGCTTAGTTTTGGGTTGTGCAAGTACTTCTTGCTGGGCCTGGGAATGTTGAAAAAACATAGATACAGCATGATACAGTACCTTTTCATTCCCTGCTCTGTTCCCCACTTTGTAATGCTGTCTCAACCAGACCTGCTGCCAAAGCAGCGCAGAAAGCGGCACCACGAAGATCAGGTGGACCAAAGGACCCTGGAGAGCGGTTCAACTGCGGTAAAGTGAACATTCATGTGGGATTAGCATGGAAAATGATGCTTAGGGGGAAACTGATGGTTGGTTAAGGGAACAAAATAGCACATTCATGTGGGGAAAATGAGAGTTAAGGGCCTCAGAGCGGTGCGATTCGACTTTGGAATTGAACCCAAGCTTGAACTGGGATTGCTTGAAAATCATAACCCCTAAATCCACCACTGCTGAATTATCATGTTCCCCATGTCTAAATCTGGGTCAACCTCCACATGTGATTGGGAGCTTGGACCAACCAATTGAAAAACATGTGTAAATTTGAGTCTCCAAGATGAGCCATGCAACGAGTGCATATACCAGTTTTTTGGTGTGTTAGGTTATCTAAGCTTGGTTTGCTGTTTGTTGATTTTCCAAGCTAGGGTCAGCCCTGGTCATAGTGGATGTTCTTAGGACTTCGACCACGACGCCGCCGCCGCCTCTGGCGCTTCCGGCTCCGGCGCGGCTCCGGCGCGGCGTGTGTGGATGGGCCGCAGGAGGTGAAGGACAGCAAGAAACAGATGGGGATTTTCATCATTATTTGTTCTGCAAATAATTTATATTGGCTAAATTGGTTGGTAACTCATATTTCATTTGGTTTTTTTTGTTTATGATGGTTTATGGTAGATATATCAAGCAATGGGGGTTGTATAAACCAACTTATAACTGCGGATATTCCCCGCAAATGACAGTCTATTCCCCAGTCAAATTGCTTGGGATGCCCCATTTGGGTCTGTTTAAAAATTGACTATAAGGAAATTTGATGGTGTATCGTGCCATTTTCCCGATGAAATTGGCCATTTGGGGGTTGGGGGGTATACCGTATACCCTATTTTCAAATCCACCCATACATCCACTTTGAAACATAACATGGCAGGTTGACGATGAAATGTTCAATACAAATAATAATGCACACGTTGATCGACATCTACCTAGAAACGTTAAAGTGTTCAAGTGAAAATGCATGTTTGTATGTTTCATTTGTTCAGAACTTTCAGAAGGTTTGAAAGCACCGACCAACATGGAGCAACATGGGCCACCATTACTTGGAGTCCTATTGATCACGTCTCACTTTCAAGCGCTCCTCCTGCACGATGTAATTTGGCTGTTTGCCAGGCTGCATGATTTTATCTGAGACCATGGAGACTAGCTGGCTGCGCTTTCATTTATTTGAGTTTCCAGACATGATCAAAACATGTCAAGACGAACAAACTGATGCACATTGACCAGCATTTGTGGATTTAGCAGTTTCAAACTTGGATACTCCCAAAACAGATAGATACAAAGCATATGATTGAATAGCTGTCTTTGTTTTGGTCAGGGGATATCTGATTTTGATCCGCACCCAGCGCGGGTTTCCCAAAGGAGAGACAATGTTCAATGATCCCCGTGAGATATGCCAAAAGCTGTGCGTGCCACTCGCGAGATTTGTTGCTGCCACTCGATCCAGAGTTGAACGTAGGATATCGCATGGATCAGCGTAGACTCTGCAGCTCGGTTCCATCGGACATTGATATCGCTCGAGTTGCGTTTTTGATTTTGGTTTTCCCAGTGTGTTTGCACAGAGATCTCCGCATTGCCTAGTTGTTACAAGTTGTTCACCAGCGGTACAATGTAGGTGTGCAAGTGATCGATATCCATTTTGATGGAAAATGTAGAGAACACTGTTGCCATACTTGGTTCAATTTATTTATAATTTACCCTCTGGTAAACTAACATAGCTATTGAACATGGCCATTTATAGTGGATTTTCCCATTAAAAATGGTGATGTTCTATAGCTATGTTAAATTACCAGAGGGTATTTATCAACATTTTGGTTTGTGAAAAGACACACATCCCACCTGCTGGCAACCTGCTGGCAGGCGCTTCAAGATGGCCAGTTGATGGTGAAAGCGTAGCTCGGCTGCAAAGAAATCATCCATTCCGCGTGGGGGTGGAACAGAACAATGGGGATATAACTATATGGAGTATAATTTAATTATCATTAATGGGACGATCCCCCCGAAATTGGTGCAGAGCGCACAGTAATCCTACCTCAAATAGCCCCTGCTATATCATTGGAACATACCAGTATTTGGGGATCCAATTGCAGAGACATAGAGGATGTAACTAGCCACAACTGGGGCCCGTACCGGTAACCGCCCCAGCCATCAATCCTAACTTCAGAGCCATGCCCATTTCAGGGGATGGTCATGTCGCCAAGAGTACGAACTGATATTGACCACTACAACATAATACTAATACATATATATATAATTATATATATACCAATATTACATATGTAAGGGTTCCAGATTTTATGATGGGATGACCATGCAACCCATATCTACCATATAACTTGACCATGGTACCTATGTTTTCCTGGTTGTGGGTCCTTTGAGATGTTTTCAGGGGATGCACTTTGTGCCATATGGATCCACATGGATTGACATATGATTTTTTCGGGGGTTAGTCACATCCAGAGGTACCCCAGTTATAAATTGGTGTGAACTAAGCAGGGGATTGACTCTAGGTGCCCAGATAGCCCAAAATATCCTAAAATCATGACAGTTGTTGCAGGTACCATCAGGTGATCTTGGCCTGCAGCCGTTCTGGCCACTTTCAGAAGGCTTTGGAGGCGCTGATGCGGGATGTGGACATGTATAGCCAGCAAGAAATGGGATCTCCAATCAATCAGGAAAAAATGTATATGTCTGTGTTGTTTTTTGTGTGACAACAGAAGAGGTTGTTTACATATCAGAAAGTGGATTTGTACCAAGAAAATGTAGGAACTCTACCAAAAATAGGAGTTGGACCATGAAGAGATGCATAAACAGCAACAACTACTAAGTCGCTACGTTAAGTAAATAGCAGCCAAGATTCAAACAGAAAAGTGGCTATTGGCCACGGTAACCATGCTATGAAAAGGAACTGGGTTGGTCGAGCCGTCGAAGGTCCAGCAACAAAATACGGAGCGTTTACGGAAGAACGACTAGTGCTTAAATGGTGAATATTAAACCATAGAAAGACACCATCGAAATCCATAGAATTTATGAGAAAGTATAGACACCTCAACATTTATGATCATTTATGGTGGCCATAGAAAACCAACATTTGGATTTATACATGTTTTAAAGCAAGCCTTGGAACTTGAAACGATGGTTGTTGGACACAAGCCTGATCCAGGGTCATCCAATCTTAGACACCTCCTGGTCCCAGATATATTGAAATCCCCTACTAGAACTAAACCATTGGTTCGTGTTTAAAAGTGTAAACCATGTTGTATGAAGGGGATTTCAATATACTAATACCATCTAATACCATTTTTTGGGAGAAAGAATCTGCCTTGTTACCATATTAAAAACCATGCGAGAAGGGATTCTTTCTCCCAAATTGTGAGCTGGAATGACCAATATGTACTAACTTTGTATGTTTCAGAGGGATTGAGACCACAAAGTTGTAATGATGTTCAGAGCTTCCACTCAAATCCCTTGTAGTGAAAGGGCGAACGTCAATCGGGGCACTCAATCTTCCAGAGTCTTTCCCACTACAACTTCATCAATATGATAAACAAATCCTAAGAGCTGCCAAAAGCAAGCAACTTCGCTCGATGCACCTATGTGCCAAAACAGGGTCTATTTTCCCATATAAGGGGATGGTCATCAATCCTTGAAAGGGGATCTGTATCCCCATTATATATCCTGTAAGGCGTACGGATTCCGATTATGGGATGACCATATAAATCATCATAAACCATAGACCATGGATCCGATAACCATCCGCATAGCCATCCGCAGCCATCCGCACATCCCAGGTCTTCCGACTCCATCGGCTTCAGCAGGGCTGGTCGGTGAGTGGATCCCAGAAGCTGATGTACTATAAATCTGCAGTTCTTGGGATTTCCAGAGGCTGATTTGATGTTTTTCACTTCCAGATTTTTCACCGTGTTTTCTTGCTGCAGCAATTTCCAAGTGCTTCACCTAACGGTTCACCTCCATGTCATCGTCGGCAGAGTCCTGGTTGGTCTCTGAGGACCCCTTCCTTGTCAACGCTTTGATGTCGATCCTTGTGGGGTCTTAGATCGGTCGTATCGGATGGTTCTGGCCTGGGGAAGATGGAAGGAATGACAGTCATATCATGTCATATCTAGTCATCCTTTTTGAGATGTGTTGTAGTATGAGATAGATATGACTGGATAGTATAAATCTCATATCTAGTATGGAAGGAATGACAGTATCTATATGTATGATAGTCATATATAGTCATGACTAGATATGACAGTATATATATGTATGATAGCATAAACATCTTACAACTGAAGATAGTATGAGATAGTGACGACTATTGGTGACTTCCATTGTTGAACAATCTCTTCACCCTATAGAAAATGCATGAAAATGCCCTAATTGAAACCCTGATGGATGTTTCTTCTGCGGGCCCTTTGGGGCTATTGAATTCTTGATATAGCATGATATAGCTTGCAAAATGAATATTAGGGCTCATACATGCCTCTATTGACTATACTACAAACACTGTATATTCTCTCTGGTTGGAACATAGTCTTCTTTATGACTATTCACACTTGCTGATGTAGCAGCTACGGGGGTGCTCGCGTAGTTGGACGCAAGGAACTTGAGACCACAGTGGGCTTCTGACGACTACCTGATAAACCAATTGGATTTTGTTCGTGACCAGATTTTGAGACAATCCCATGTTTCAGATTCTCAACATATGATGTCTCAAAATAACCCATAGGATCCATGTATGGTATATATGCTAACATTTGGGGTATATTGATGGTAAATGAATGTCACCATATATAGCATACATGGATCCTATGGGTAATGGGACCCAAACCAACCCTTCATTTCGCACTTTTTTTCTGTGCTCCCAAAGATCCGGTTTTTCTCCATCTTGTGTCTCTCCAGGTTGCAGAACGGAGGCGGACATTTGGAACGGAGACTTGTTTGGATTTTGTTTGTTCCTGCCTGGTTTGGGAGGAGCTTCTGTTGCAGCCCTATGAGCCTCATAGCATCGCATTGAATCACATTGTGCAGATTTGTGCAGGCGCTTGGCTGGCATCGATGGGAGTCAGGCTGGAAAATCCCACAATCCAAGGGCATCCAAGGCGGCAATGGATTGATTCCTGCTGTTTGACATTGTATGTTTGTAATATGCTATATTGATCTACTGGGTGTATTTGCATGTTAATGTCTATGTGCGAAACATGTATTCGAATCTGATGTATAGTGTAATATAGTGTAATGTGATGTGTAATGCAATGTGTAACGCAATGTGTGCTGTAATATCTAAATTGTATAATTTAAAATCTAATTTAATGTGTGAAGTAGTATGCAATACATAATGGAATGCCAAATGTAATGTGTAATGCACTGTGAGTTATTGTAGCGTAATATATAACAAGTGTGTAGCAGTGTAACATCATGTAGCATATTGTGTGTTAACGACACGTAGTAAAACGCAATGTATTGTAACGTAATGCAACATAATGTAATGTGCAATTCAGCTTACATAATGTCATGTGTTGTGCATTTTTATGTGTTGTGATGTGTTGTGGTGTGATGTGATTTGTCAATAGTGTGTATACATATAAGATTATATATATATAAGGTCCGCAGTTCGAGATCAGCTGAGGGATGTGCAGCAGCTTCAGGCCACAGATGGCGCATTTGTTGCGATCTTGGCAGATGGATCAGTGATTGCTTGGGGCGCTCCACTCTATGGTGGTGACTACTCAGCAGTTTCAGCTGATGAACGTGCAGCAAATTCAGCGCACAAGTTCCGCATTTGCTGCGATCCTGGCTGATGGATTCGTCGTCGCGTGGGGCCATCCAGAGTATGCCGGTGACTGTTCCGCAGTTCAAGGTCAGCTCAGGAACGTGGAACAAATTCAGGCCACAGCTGGCGCATCTGCCGCGATCTTGGCTGATCAATCAGTGGTTGCCTGGGGCAATCCAGAGGAGTGTGGTGACTGTTCCGCAGTTCACGATCAGCTCAGGAACGTGCAGCACATTCAGGCCTCACATCAGGCATTTGCAGCGATCTTGGCCGATGGGTCAGTGGTTGCCTGGGGCAATCCAGAGTATGGCGGTGACTGCTCCGCAGTTCAAGATCAGCTGAGCAATGTGCTTGAAATTCAGGCCACACAGGAAGCATTTGCCACGATTTTGGCTGATGGATCAGTGGTTGCCTGGGGCAATCCATACAATGGCGGTGACTGCTCCGCAGTTCAAAATCAGCTGAGCAATGTGCTTGAAATTCAGGCCACACAGGGAGCATTTGCCGCGATTTTGGCTGATGGATCAGTGGTTGCCTGGGGCAATCCATACAATGGCGGTGACTGCTTTGCAGTTCAACATCAGCTGAGGAATGTGCAGCAAATACAGGCCACAGCTGGCGCATTTGCCGCGGTCTTGGCCGATGGATCGGTGTTTGCCTGGGGCAATCCACAGTGCGGTGGTGACTGTTCTGCAGGTCAAGATGAGCTTCAGTATTTGTAGGTTTTCTTGGTTCAAGAACCAAGAAGAACAGAATTGGATGGATGAAAAGTTCATTGATATAATATAGACATATATAGACAATTCTATTCGTTTTCGGGATGTGTGCCACTTTTGACCCATCCCTCTATGTTTGCATCAGGGTTTCCTCACTGGCCCATAGAGCATCGGCAGATATCGGCAGGCATGAAAGCAAAACAGCAGGGCACATGTAGGGCGCAGTACATGTTTTCCCTCCAGTATGGAAATCTACAGCCAGCCCAGCACTAGTGGGGATAGCCGGCATAGCATTGGTGGCTCCACCAGGCATTTCCCCCCTTTTTCGCCATGGTTTTCCGCAACGATTCATGGAGCGCTATTCCAAGTATCCATTAACTATCAAGGAATTTGAGGTGACAAGAAGTAGGTGTCTGAAAATATAGAGTATACATGAGTCACATGAGTATACTATGGTATATCCCAATAGAACATTAAGCAGCACATATTTTAGTCGGGAAAATTATGATCTATCAAATTTGGGGGTACCCCATTTTTCAGACCCGGTGAAAATGGTGACCAACTTCTGAAGTCCTATAGGGTCAGCGAGCCAATGAGATCGAATGAATATCTACGATCAATCCATGCGAATCTGGTTCATCATGTTTCATCATAGTTTCAACCAACGATGTGTGCATACAAAAACCGATGTTTGTGACTATATGTGCGCAATCTACATTGTTTATCATGTGTTTTCATCATCCCCCATTTATAAATGGCGGCTGACATCCCAGAGTAGGGGCATCATTGCAATAAATTGACCAACATGTGTTGATGGGAAACATGTGAAATTATTGAATTGTAAAATCATACGATGGGGCTAAATATACCCGGAATTCAACCATCATCTAAATCTCAAGACCTGGGAATTGTTCACCATCAAGCATCATCAAGATCCGTATTCGCAGAACATGATTCACCGACTTGTTGTGTCTCTTAAGTTGACCTTCATTGATGGAGACAGTCGCTTCCTCCTCATTTGCCTCATAGATTGAAGTGTGTCTGAAAATGGGGCACCCCCAGTTCCAACTGTATTATCATGATTCTCCGCATTCCTATGGCAGTGTTTTGGGCATGCATCAATTCTGAACGCTCAAAGATCATGTTGTTGCCAAGGTATCAAGGTATCTTAGCAATTTATAATTTATAATATCTATTAATATCTTATATCTACCAGCTCTTTGAAACTCCATTTCTGTCCAAATCATATGGCGCTGGGAAACATCACAGGACCGGCGACTCGCCTCCAAGTCATGAGTTCAGTGGGCCGACCACTAGGCTAATTAGGTTTTCATGGCGGGCAAACCTTTGGCTACAATAAGTTGGTTAAACACGGTGAAACAAACTTTGTAACTAGGGGCTCCACCTCACATGGGTGCTGACAAGGGAGTGTAGCCACACATGGTCATTGGCGGACATATCCACCTTTCTGCCAGGCTTTGAACGTTGTCAAGGAGATGCAAGCGGTCAGCTGCTGAACCACCTGTGATTCCGCACACACTTTCGCACGCTGACCGGCTGAAGTGCTTCCTATTTTGGTCGAGAATTACTGTATATAGTTCCTTTGTGCTTATCTTATCTATTTCTGACTGAGAAGTGGTGGTTACCCTGGTGGTTGTAGAGGATCCATTATAAACAACAGAGACATAGAGACATTCTGTAGGTATAGAACCCTCAAAGCGGATGCGCTACTAATAAAGAGTGTGTCAGCAACTTTGGAGGTCCCAAGGGGTGCAGCAAATTTTTGACCATTGGGGATTGTCTCACGTGGGTTGAGCCCACGAATGTCTTCAGATCCTATACATCACCAGTCATCTGTGGCTCCACTGGTAGCCCTGTTTGTTGGGCTAGTAAACAAATGTGGAACATCCCGATGCTTGCCCATTTACAGATAGTTTCCCTGAGCTTTCCATGGCATGGTTTCGGCACATCATGGTCCAACATAGCCAGGCGCACCAAAATCCTGATTTGTTGACTTACAAGGCCCCGGCGTTCCAGGGAAACTCCGTCCAGTAATTCTATTGGTTCCAAGATTACCTGGGATGATAGCAATACTAAGCACACCGAGGTGGGCCATAGGAAAACCGCGATTCCTGGTTAGTAGGGTTATAACATGTTAGAAACCACAACAAATCCCCATGAAAATCCATTGACCAAAACTAGTTTGACTAACTCCATGGCCCATCCAAGTAGATGATGGGTAACCAGCAGATGGGGATTTCATGCTCACCAGCTATGTCGATGTGGTGAGCTTTGGCAGATGATCCACGAAGACCGGAAAGTGTTGATGTTTTTTTTCCCCAGGAAAAATCAGGAGTTTCCGATCCCTGTCGTCGATGCTTGGCTTAGTTCTCTATATTGATTCTTCAATATTCACATCGTTTTTACTGAGATCGCCATTGGTGCTGCTCAACTCTCCATATTTTGCTGAGATGTACATGTTTGTTGGTTGAAAGCATAGTTTTCTTGGTTTAAACGATCTCAAATCGGCTAACATCATATAAATTCACTATTCATGTTGGTGTTTGAGATTAGATGTTCCATAGTCCTTGGTTCAAAAAACTACAGTTTGTGTAAATCAAATTCAACATCTTCTGACATGCTCCATTTTTGTTGTTTTGAATCTCAGTTTTACCTGGCTCAACTCATACCTTTTTAACGGAAATCCACTCCGCATGTTTGATTGGCGACATCTCATACTGGTTGGTGGTTTGGAAATGTTTGGAACATGGCTTTTATTTTCCCATATATTGGGAATGTCATCATCCCAACTGACGAACTCCATCATTTTTCAGAGGGGTAGGTAAACCATGGTTTTCATCATTATTAACCATTGTTAATCCACTATTCACTATAATCCACTATATAACCATTATAATCCACTAGAATCATTATTAACCATTGTTAATCCACTTAGCTTTGTCGGTGAAATCCCTACTGTTCTTGGTGAATTGTCGGTGAAATCCCCGATTTTGGCGTAACTTTTCTGGCGTCAGTGAACCAGGCCCTACTGGAGCTGCTTGAGGGCTCTGGGTGCTCAAAGGAAGTGCCTGAGATCTTCACGGCCGTGGAAGGCGGGGGAGATCAGTGGCTATACTTAGATGGGCCATAAGATTAGCGGTTCCTAGTTGGTAACTGGGGTTATAATCTCCTATATCCCAATGAAATAATCCATTTACTAACTAGTCAACTAACTGCATGGTCCATCTAAGTATGGATGTTACTCAACAAAACGCATGGAAACCATGTGGATGTTAATGATTGACTCTAGGGAACATAAGCATGGTGAAATCAAGAGGAAGAGATGGGTATGGAATGAATCATCAGCCGAAGATATTGCGGATGGTTGCGACACCCTGCATCAGTTGGCAGATGATTATCCCATGACAACCCCATTATTTGCCTTGTCTCATAGCTACCTATAGTTTCCAACTGGTGCAGTTGTTTGTCCATCCACAGTATGGGGCATATACGGATTTTAGTGAGTGATTATAGGGAAGCGTGAGGGTTTTCATCGACATGTAATAAATATATATTTTCATATTATTTATATATATACAATAATGATTCTTGATTAAACTGGTGATGTGCCGTATGTGTTGATCAAACATACGGGGAAAATGCTTTCCGATCAACCAAAACACTGCAGTGTAAGACCAAACATTATTGGGTATGATAGAATAAAGGCATATTTACTTGTACCTAACCAACAATCTATTTTTTTTTGTGTGTGTGTCCAGAACTGAGATATATGATATACCCTAAAAATGAACTTTGCTAGAGGGAATGCTGATGAATCATTGGATATGGGGGGTAGCCGGGGGTAACCTGTTTTTGGACAAAGCCATGTCGCGAGATATGGCGATTTTATCACCATCAATAGTGGATATGACCATATATATATATACTTGGGTTGTGATTTCAGACATGTTTTAATTATTTCTGTCCGGTTTGGGATGAGATCCGCTATGAATTGAAACAAATCATTAATTTTCAGGGAGCTTGCACGCATCCGTTTCCTAGTGATCGGTGGTATTTTTAGATGAAATTGGACATTTGAATGGGAATATGATGGTGAAACATGCTGCCATCTGGTGGTTTGGACCCAAAAAACGTGCAATCTAAACAAGCATCAACACAGCGAATATAGATACCTACAATTAAGTGCTTGGAGGTTTTGCCATTTGCCTGGTGATGTTCATCCCAAGAAATAGGATGATGCTTCCATTGAAGCTGTTGAAACCACTAGCCAGATTCAATATGATGACATAGCACCATTAAGATCAATGATCTAGGTTATGAACCAACTAAATTGGGTTTCTCATTTGGGCATGACGATGAAAGATGTGGTTTTCCACCACTGATTTTGCGCATAGAACCTGACAGTCTCCCATCCTTATAGGGGCATGGGCATGGACTGTGGAACCCCACCTCCGCCAGTCTTAGATCAAGAGGAGAGAAACATTTGTACATTTCTAATTATATCTGATTATCCCAATGATATGGCTAATAGATAGGAAGATCAACAGATGTTGCTTCGTTTCTTGTAATAGTTCTGTTCTTCTTCAGTGAACTCTGACCTGGCGAGTCCAGCTGCTCTTTTCAGGTGAGCTAAGTCGCTTAGCACGCCCAGGCGCGCGGTTCAGCGTAAACACGCTTTTTCAAGGGCGTATTCATAGCCAGCAAGCACTACTTAGATGGGCCATAGAGTTAATTAACTAGTTATTAAATGGATTATTTTATTGGGATATAGGGGGGTTTAACCCCAGTTACTCACCAGTTAGCTAATCCTATGGCCCATCTAAGTAGGGCTATTAACATGTAGTAACATTTATATATCAAGCATCCATTATCAAAGGGGGTTGGTTAATAGGAGGTTGTACTGGTTGATTGTGAATTGTTATGACCCATCATGGGGGGGTCCCCACTATCCAACCACAGATAATGACAGAGGAGCTTACCAATTTTCCATGAAGATGATCAAATGATTGCGCACGTGCCGAAAAAAAAAAAGTCTATTGAACATGTGAGCAGTGGCTGCTAAACCCCTGTTGGTTGATGATTAGTTCGGAGATTTTAATCCCCTTTGTGGATTCTAATAACCCAATAGGGGAATCCGTCTTAACCAGCCAGTATTGCTCGTGTGTTCTTTGATTGCCATTCTCAATAGCAGGTGCAAGATGTACCTGGGCATGTCCAAAGATTGGGCATCCGCAAAGCCATGATTCCTTCATGCTGATAGGCCCACGACAGATGTGCATTGATCATGATATATCACGATCATGGTCAGCATTTGCCCAGAAATGGAGGTGTCCAAAATATAAAAAAGGGCTGCCGTAAATTAATCATCCAAATTTTGTGTAGAATTTTCCATGATAAACCATCCAGCGTTCTTGGGATACCCCCACGACAGGAGCTGGCGCCGAACTTCGCCGAAGCCTGGAGGTGATTCAAGGGAAACAACACGACTGGGTCGGTCGTATATCCCCCCATTATGGCTATTTAATAGGAATGATGATGCTTTGAACATAGGTATATTGATGATTAATGATGGTTAATAATGGTTATATAATGATTGTTGATGATGATGATGGTGATGATGATGATGATGATGATGACTAAGAAACAACGAAACTTGAAACTGTACTTCAATGGTTCATGTTTTTTGTTTAACCTACTGTAATATCTGTAATTAGCAAATGGATTATTTCATTGGCATAGTTTATGGTTTATAAACCCAGTTACTAACCCGGAATCACTAATAAGTCTATTACTCATTATATGTTATTTGTACATATGCATATATATATATATGTTTGTTTGAAAAAGAACGCTGGCAAACCATGACATTAGTCAAGAGAAATGGGAGTTGAAACAAATTTAATCCCATGGCCCGTCTAAGTACAAAAGACACATAAATTAAGTTTTATGCTAGTGATGGTTCTGTTTTGTTCATTAACATCTACATAAAGATCTAAGATATTTCCATGCCAATAGGATGACGGTCCCATTGTTGCGACTGTGTTGAATGGCCATGCTCAGCATATGCTCCGCATCATGAAAATTCCCCAAGGTCTTATCACAGTGTGAAGATCTGCAAGAGATTTATTGTACTTTGTGGGAACACATCTAGATTGGTTCCCTTCCCAATCTGTGCAATTCTTCTGCCTTGGACAACCATGGAAGTGGAACAGTCCTCTTGTCAATAGAGAGGTTTTGCAAAGGTCTCATTGTTCAATTCCAAGGTTCTTTCCGGCAGGGCGG